TTCAGCGCGATTGCGATTGATCCAATCAACTTCGTTGTTTCTATGGGCATAAAGTCGTCCTAAAACGTGGGAGCAAATATGGTCATGACAAGTTACTTGAGTTGACCATCAGCAAATGAATGCTCCACGATCATTGCGAGATATTTTTCTGCGTTTCACAAAAAGAAAACACGTTCCAATAAAAAGGCAATACTTTCTATGAGAAGTTTGAAACACATAAAAAAGCAGAAAAGCATAAAATTTGTCAACAAAGCGAATTCAAAGCGAAAAATTAGCATGAGTTCTGGCATTCATTTCTCGTAATATATGTGAAAACAACTGTTTTTTTTTCTATTTTATTGTCAATCTTACAGTTTTACAATGCGATCGATGGGTCTTCAGTCTAATGTTACCGCTAATATTACACGAATTAGTCCGTTGATTGGAATCTTTTGTGTTTTTGCACATACACGTGAAAAACAACACCAAAAACTTTCATTCAAATTTTATTCCGGTCATCAACTTCTAAACAACAGCCACAGAAAAAAAAATTGCTTTTTTAAAACACTCTCTGCATTTGGCAGTGGTCACCAGAACCGGCTTTTCGTCGTCATCACAAAACCAACTTTGAAAGTTGTGTAGCAAATCAAAAGTCACACAAGAAACAAGTTGAAATGAATCCGTTTGTAGCATTTCAAATGATCTTGGACTTTTGCAAATTCATTTGGTCGTGAAAAGAAACGCGTTGTCGTGCGTAAAGAGAAAATTTCCTATTGATGGCTATCAACGCCAGTCGAAGAAGAAAGAGAATCGTATTGAATTATTAACCTTTCGCACGATACGTGCTCAAAGTTGAGAGTAAGAATCGAAAGAAATCCAATCAAAGGTTGTGCCAATACAGACAATCTCCCAACGCAATTTCTTATCGTGAGCAAATATTTCGCTTCCATTTATCTATCATCGTCGAAGTGAGATTTTAAGTATGTTGTGTGCCGTTTGGAATAAAACAAATGAATGAAAAGAGAGAAATTGAAAATGGTAACTTCTTGATAAAACGAAGCGGCAAAGCATCGATGCTGGTGCGTGTATGTGAGTGTGCAGTATAATGTTGTCAGTTAGATTGCGGTTTCACACACAACAACTCTTTGAACATTATCTCATTGGAATGCTCGCGCCGCGTCGATATCTTTCGCGTTCACACAGTAAAAATGCGAAAATTATATTTAGGAGTTTGAAGAATATATTAAATGCCAGCCTTTGCAGAATACTTTGCTGTGCGCAATGCAAACTGGAGTATAGAAGTATGAAAATATGCGTAATTGAAGAGCAAAGTTCCGTTCGGCGAAGAGCTTTCAACGAAATGATGATAATTATTTTGATAAAAATAACCGATGTTCGGTACAACGAACCCAACTATTACATGTTCATCAATTGGTTTGGTCGACTTTTATAGACAATTTTCTCTTAAGTGAAGAAACTCGCCACCGACGACAGCAGCAGCAGCAGCAGCGGTCTCAAGCCGCTCTCCTTACGTGTGGAACAATTTTTGGAATTCATCCTGCGCGCGATTTCTGTGGAGTGAATTCGTCGCAGACTTTCAGTTAGGTCAGTACGGGCTCTGCGTTCGCCGGGAGAGTCGCGATCAATTCAACTGATAACCGGTCATTATTTTCACTCGTATTTCATGAGAAAGATTCATTATGTTCCGCACAGCTTGCTCCAAGTAATAATGTTTCAAGTAAATTGATGCAAATTCTGATATCCCAAACCGTATACACACACACACACACACGGTTTGCGCGATATATAATCGCGCGCTCACACAACAGGTCAGTGATCACTCGAATGAAACCAGTGGAATTTATTCCCGTGAATTCATCATAAATTATATGAAAAATATACGTCCGAACGAATAAGTACGCTTCAAACAGAATCATGCTCATCATGAAGAACAAGTAGCCATAGGCACTTGAACGTTTTTATCGAATTCGTTCTTTTTTCTCTGTTTGATGAAACTATTTCGTTTTAATTTAATCAAAATAAAGCGAACAAATTGTTTAATTTCAACTGAATGACATAAATAACTACGTATTGTATCGAATGTCGATGGGTTTGCCGTTTTCAAAACATAAAAAATCCAGCAATTGGAATGGCGTTCAATTACAAGAGAGAGAGAGAGAGAGAGAGAGAGAGAGGGAGAGAAAAAAAAAACTCGAGTTCAATTATTCTGAAAGAAAAAACCATATGAAGCACTTTGCCTTCAATTGAATAAACAAATACACAAATAAAAATATAATTGATCGTCTAGCCAATGATCTATGTTTGCCACAGAATAAAAACGTTTTTATTCAATTACAAACAGAGCAAATCGAATTACAATACAAATTATTATGCCATTGACAAAGCGAGTGAACGAATCGAAGAGCGAGAGAGAGTGAGACACACACAGAGAGAGAGAGAGAAAGAGAAAGAACAGATGAGCAAGAGAACAAGCAAATGAGCGGATAAGTGAAAGAGCGAAAGAGCTAGCGGTATGTTATGGCGAGAGCATTTAAACGAAGAAAAACATTGATGTATTGAATATGAATAGAGCATACAATCTGTTGATCTAATTGGATTGGGTAAAAGTTATTGAATTAATCATCTTGCATTCATAAGAGGCATTATCAAGCGATGGGCATCTGGCTTTGATTCCAAATGCCATTGCTTTGCATATATGAAAGTCTTCATTTCGAAGTGAACAAATGTTCTTTTTTTTCATTTTTTTTTCTCTTTGTCTCGCAATCTCTTTCCAAATGCTTCTTGACAATTATCTCCGCATGCAAACAAAATAAAATCGGCCAATTGAAGCCAGATTCTTATGAATATTTTGGACAATGTTGCAATCGCTGCTTTTGAATTTTATCTCAAACAATGTACAAAAACAAAATTCCAGAATCAAAATAAACGCTCACTACGAGTAAATCGTGAATGTGTTTATTTGTACTTGAGTCCATATTTAATCAAACATATGTGTGAATCACCCCGAATAGTTTGCTTTGTTTTGGTTCTTCGTTTAAAATACTCGAAATTCTGTGCGTTGTTTGTTGCAAAACATTCACTCGTAAAACGGTTGGGTTCTTTCACGTTTCAGGCATCGAATGAACAAACAAACGTTTTTTTGTGAAAACATTCTTTAAAATCTGTTTTTAGTTTATTTGATCATTGCAGAAAAAGAGCTCCACACAATTGAATACAATGAGATGCTAATTTATACATTAGTTCCTATTCTACACATTAGCTTCGAGTTAGTTTTGGTTGAAACTATCGTTTAAAACCGAAACCACCACACACTATCTTCAACCAAACAGATATTATCAACAAGGTTAGTTCAGAAAAAATCGTTATAATTAATTTATCGGTCGATTAAAAAAAAAGATCGGCGCGGCAATTAAATTGAATGCAAAAAAGTGATTTTATAACTGTAGCGATACGCTTTCTGCGTCCATGTTTGATAAAAAACCAAACCTAATGGATACACAAAATGATGGAAATATAACGATTTCATAACACAAAAATGCTCGATAAAATAAATATCATTCACTATCAAGGGCTATCATCAGCATGTTTGCCATTTTATTGTGCATAAAACACCGATTGTCGAGTTGTTAAAATTTGGTTGATTGTGTTGATCCAATATTTATCATTGGATTTTTTTTTTCGGTTTGCATGTGAATGGCAGCAACCTGCGACGTTATTCGTTCATTTTCACCGCATTTCTCTTTCAAGATGAACGTACGGAACGGGCGTTCGAATTGTCGGTAAAATTCCATTCAAAAGCGAGAATAAGCTGCGAAATTTCGCATCATTTTATGATGATCGAATCGATTAAAAAAGAACAAAAGCGACGGTGAGAGCAGCTGCGGCAGCAGCAGTAGCAGCAGTCGCCGCTCATTTCACATTTGCATATTTATTCCCGAACAATCGAAACCAATTTTAAAGCAGAATACAGGCTAAATGGCACAAGCCATAAATTCTCTCTATTCAATCGCGATGAGAATAGGTGCAGGCATACACAAAGACCGGTGTGTGCCGTCATTCGCGACACAGCGATAGACAATTTGATGCACACTTGCCGTCGGTTTTTTTTGGTTGACTACATTCATTTTCACCTTCAATACACGTATCTCTCTCTCTCTCTCTCTCTCTCACGAACTTCGACTGATGTCATCGAATATCAATTCGATAAAAATAACATGTCGGCGGAGAATCAACAAACACTTGGCAAGACTTGTCTTTTTCTCATATTTTCGCATTGTTAAGCGAATGTTAACCTTTAACGATTGAAATGTAGTTTATGTATATGCACTTCCCATAAGGGACGTTTCGACTGAATTGCTGCTGATGAAGAATCTCCATAGAGAGCGAAAGAAAAAAACCACCACGCAAATATATACACAACAAAAAAAAAACAATGTTAGTTAGTTTCTCCACTGAGCGTATCGCATCTCATTTGAAGTTTATTTCACTGGCTGCTCCGCGTTACGTAAGTTCACATGTGTATTTTTCAACACACAATACCAAAACGAGTGAATAGAAATCATCAAGAGTGAGAGACGAAGAGAAGCCCCCGCTTATTTATCGCCCCGTTCATTTTAAATGCACTTTTTTCTTCATTCTTTGCGCTCAACATGTTTCCAATTTAGGTGTTATTACTTTGCCCATTGATTAACGAAACAAATAAGCATATAGCAGCCAACACACGTATGAAATGAAGACGAGGAAAAAAACCGCCAGAGAGAGAGAGAAAGAGAGAGAGAGAGAGAGAGAGAGAGAGAGAGAGAGAGCGGGAGTGAACAAGAGAGATATGAATTGAGAACGAATAAAACATACACTATAAGAATGTACAAATAAACGTAAGCTTGATAAGCACTCATTAAAAAAAAATTTCGTCGATTATTGTTGGTTCTTTTCTTCATATTCTCTCTCTCTCTCTCTCTCTGCGTATTTTTTTGAATAAATTTATTATCTCGGCTTCTTACCTTTTATGTCGCAAATGGGCTAAACTAATCCAATAAAGCACCTTCTTTTTGGTTTATTTTAACGATGAAACAAAGCGATAACTGGATGTCGTTGGTTTCACTCGCTTTTTTTTCTATATCAGAATACACAGTCACTGACACTTTTAGCCCCGTGTTTTTTTTTTAATTTTCAATTTCAATTTGTGTTCTTTCTCTCTTCACCTGAAAAACTATACACACGTATACACTTGATTAAAAATTTAATTGCGTTATCGATCGAACTTGAAAAAAAAATGGTTCGAACGTATTCCTCGTTAAATGTATCTCTTGACACATAACACGATGTGAATATACACAGATACACGCACACTCGATTCTAATCGAAATTAATCAGGAGAGCGCTTGATTTACAAATGATTCTATTCAATGGATAGCAATCAATGCACGCATTTGAACATTGAACAAAATTATCGGATTTAATTTCTTCGGTTTTAATTTCTCTGAAGAAAAAAAAACACACACACACGATATTTTGAATGGATTCCTCGTTTGAGCACACAGTATGATTGACACTCAAACGATGAGTAAATTTTTTTTCTTCTCGTTCAGTTTCGTTGTCACATTATTCGACGTCGCGAAAAAAATATTAGAGACATAATTGAATTTCAAGCGGCGATTTTTTTTCCCTTTGCAGTTTGCGCGTTTTTAATGAATTAATTGGCTTTTCACAATACTACGAAGTAAGCAGCGAAAAAACAAACTCAAAACACGAACAACAGTGAAACTGAAAACGTAGCTCGCGCGCGACACATGCAGAGAGAGAGAGAGTAAAACGAATGAAGAAGCGTAATATAGTGCAAAGAGAAGAACTTCACTCACAAAATACGTGTTTCGTTACACAGAAGAAGAAAAGAAAAACTACACCGATGACCGAGAAGAGACGAAAAAAAAGAGCAACAAAACTATGCAAACCCATACAAAGGTTCTGAATCTGATTGCCAATGCTGATGTAGCCGTCGTCCTACTATCGAATCAAATCAGCGATATATGTGTATTCAGCGGTAAAGAAAACGAAACAAAAAAAAACAATAACTTTTAATGAATATGCCGCGAATATTTTCGGATTCAAGCGATGAGCAAATAACTTTTCGATCAAATTGAAATTTGGTGTATTTTAAACGTAAATCCAATCGTAAATTTATTGAATGACCCAAGAACAAACAAAAAGAAAACGAACGCACTCGCAACAAATTAATGACAGACGAAGACAGTAAAACTGCACACGATTTTCTTCTCAATTTTTATTTTTTTTTATATCGCTTTGGTTTTTTTCTCTGCTTTCTTTCTCAGAATATGCGTTTTTTTGGTGTGTAGATTGAGCCGAATAAACGCCTGGATACTTTTGCACAGTGAACTGTTTAGCGATGCGTTTAGCTTCAGTACGAATTCACCACTGTCGAAAACCCATTCGACATGTAGACATATCGAACGACGTAGAATGAAGACACCGACAAGCGTTTAACGTGACGGGCGGGTATGGTTGTATGTACGTCGCACACACTTGCGTCTCTCTCTCTCTCTGTGTGTGTACTGAACCGAGCTCGAGTTTTGACTCGGCATCGCACACTCTGCATATACAGTGTGCTGAGTGGATGGAGCGTATACGTTCGATCCGCTCTTGAATCGATGTCATTGTGCATGTGTGTATGCGGGCCTCGTTTGATTGTATCTTCTTTCAAGTTTACAAACCATAAATATCGATGCGATGAGTCAAATGGCCGCCTAAATTGAAAACACTTCGCACAAAACATCGCAAACAACGCCAGTTGCCACTTCATAACGCACACACACTCATTCATTTCCGACTGTACACCAATAACCCAAGCAACAATTTTTGTGTAGCATACGAAACGTCAACTACGCATTTTTAAAAAGAAGCGCTGAAATGGTCGGTACGAATTGATTGAATTAAGCATTTGATTTTAGCAAGAAATAAGATTAGCATAATTGAAAAATACAACAAATGTCTCGGATTCATTTCGATTTTATTATGATCGGTTTTTATCAATGATTTTATCTTTACAAATATTTTGTGATATTTAACAATTCTTAGTTGGTCGTGGAGAAAGCCTAATTATTGATTACATTGTTTACAATTGTGTTTGAACGAGAAAATATCAATAAAACAATGAAATCTGACAATCAAATTCAATTTGAATTAAAATTTATCCAACGTTTCAATGCTGCTTACTGCACTGACTCGGTTCTTTATTGTTAATAATCAAAATTTCATGATTTTCGAACTTTATGATTTTTTTTCCAGTTGATTTCATTGGCAAAGCAAAGATTCTCATTTTCACGTATCACAATTGCACCATAACTGATTTGTTTCAATGAACGTAGCTCGAATGACTTCAAATTCGTATTTGCAACGTGTAAAGAGGTGTATTGTCCAGAATTGGTGTCGAATAATTGACGGCCACGAATGACTTCAAGATTTCGCAAGCAAGAAAGATCCGTAAAATCTTCATGTTTTCCCTCAATGTTAATGAAACCAGTCACTTCACGCAGAGTTGAGAACACTTCCAAGCGATCTGGATGCATTTTAATGAATCGAGGCCCAAACGAAAGATTGGCATACACTTGATGATAGCCGTTAAATGTTTGATCCAATATTTCGAGATTACCATCAATGATTGTGCAGCCGCGGAACGAATCAATGTTACCGGAATGAACGATGCCTGTGTTACGACATATATTCGGACATGGGCCATCACAAGTAAAACATTCACCATTTTTCGCCGTTTTGTCATCTGAACACATTGACACACATACTCCATTGTCTTTAAGTAAATTCTCTGGACAGTTTTTAACACACTTGTGCTCGTAGGCATACTTTCCGTCTGGATTTGGTTCCCCTGAATGATTATTTAAATCATATTTTTCTATCGGTAGACATTGATCTCTACAAACGCCATCATCATCAAAATAACGGCATGATATGCACTCGTTCTGGTTTGGACCAGTGCAACCACCAGCACAGAATGAATGACAGCAATCACGCGGATTCGGACCAAAGCAACGATTATTTCCACATTGCGGCGAACAATTGATTTTGCTGAATTTCTGGCAATTGTGTGCTCCCTCGCCCCAACAACCGGCAACACACGTCGGATGGCATTTCGGACACGCCGGTTCAGGAAACGTAAAATTGTATACGTATCTTAATACTTCTCCTGGTCCTTTGATTTAGAACGAAGAGAATGTAACAATTTTTGTATTTGTTTCTTTCGTTTTAATCAAATTTTTGTTCGAAATAGCTAAAAAATGACCGAAATGTATGTACCTGTAATAATTTCTTCCCAATTGATCGTTTGAATAAAGCATAGATTTTGATTGTTGAATATGAGCACCGATCCAGATACAATATCACGTAGTGCCGGTAATTCTAGCGAATCCATTTGCGAGTAGCTTACAAATAATCCAAATTTTTCATCGTAAATGTTCAATTTGAATAAAGTTCTCCCATGAATAACTTGCAAACTAAAATTAAAATAAAAAATGTCGTCCTTTTTATGAAAGCTAAAATAATAAGAGAATTTTCTCGCCTAAATTACCGTGGAAAAATGATGTTTTTTACATGTACATGTCTAATTGAAACATATCCCGTAACTTCACGAATATGCTGTAAAAAATCCAAATTCGTCGTTGGATCTTCGATCCAAGATATTTCTAAATTTCCGTCGATGTGTGTACAATTCGTAAAGCGATCACGTAATTTGAAGATTTCGGTTTGATTATGAAGATTTCGGTTTGACGGTATTGACATGCGTGCATTGGTGCCCATGCAGACTGTTGGAAAATTATCGGCAAGTAAGCATAGACAGAAACAAAACAATGTATTTTACTTATCGGAACTTACCCTTCATTTGTTCACCATTCTCATTGACATCGGGAATACAAGCCACAAATGTCGCCATCAAAAGTAAAATATAAAGTTTAAAGATGTCCATTTTTTGAATGAGATTTTTTTCATTTACAAAATGAAATGATAACTTCTTTTTTAACCAATCAGTAATTATAGAAAATGTTTAATTAAAACCTTCACTGGTGAGTATGGCTAAAACAAACTAAGACGAAAAACGTTGCTCGATATTCGCAGGATCCCAATGTTGCTTCTGCAAAATTTGAGTGAGCACTGATTCAACTGAACTCAAACACCGAAGATAACACAATTTATTGCCGTAGTTCAACACCAAGACTTACACACTCATTGATGATATTTTCGGTGTAAAAAAGTCTTCTCTGTGAAACTCCTCAATGAATGAAGTATCGTTCTTTCTCTTTTTACGACATTCAAAACGTTTCCCTCACTAACAACAACAATAAATGAAAAAAAAAGGAAGAAAAAAAAATCAAATGCCGCTCTCTTTTTCAATCAATACGTCAGCGGTTCGATTCCGCTTCGGCGACTTTTGATTTTTTTTTTCATATTTTCATTTACAATGAATTTATTCACTTTTTCCATATTTTTTTTGTCATAAAATACAAATATATTTTTTTTTGAACAATTTGACTATTTTAAATGCACGACCAAAGTGAAAAACTGCATCCGTTCATAAAGCAGCAGATCAAGAAAGAGTCGAATGTATATTCGCTACTTAATCTCTCTCTCTCTTCCCTTCTTGTGTACAAAACAAACACCATACATATTGATTTGTATTGGTTTCGTATCAGCGAATCAATGTGTATGGTGTCTGTTTTGTACACAAGAAGGGAAGAGAGAGATTGAGTAGCGAATAAACATTTGACTCTTTCTTGATGCTCTCTTGCTGCTTTATGAACGAATGCAGTTTTTCATTTCGGCTTATTCTTATGATTTGCTAAATCTCGAATCTACCGATTTGAGTTTATTTTAAATACAGAACGCATATATATCATAAGCGGTCGGCCGTCGTGCATGGCAGCAGACACAGTTCAACAAAGATGCTACTACGTTCAACTTCAGCGGACACCATGATGGCATTAGCGTGTAATGTCGAGTGGTATGTGTCAACAATTACCGCCCGGTGGGATATGCTTGCATATATGCGATATATCGTGTCCGTGGAGCAAAAAGTGTTAGACTTGTTCTAGCACTCGATGGGTAATATAAAAAATGTTTTTTTTATATTCCACTAACGCTTGGGTATGTTCATTTTTGGGAGAATTGAAAATGATTCGGATAGAAGGATTGCATTTAACTCGTGTTACACTTGCATTGAGTGCCACCTTAAGCAATTCAACATTCATAATATATAAACTAAATACGAGCGAAGGGGGCATATGAAAAAAAATGGAAATATTAAAGAACTTCAAACAGTTTTACACCATTCTCCAGTTCCATTGGATTTCAATGTATCTAATGTAATGGGAACTAAATGCGAGTGGAGACGGTGTGTAAAAAATAGTGTAGAAAAACTTTTTGAATGGGGATGGTTCTTTTTCATTCTTCAAAATTTTCAATCCTTAAAATTTCGAGTAGAAAAAGTGCGTTGAAATACACTACAAATTGAATTGACTATTTGACTACAGTAAGAATTTGATAGCTGAAACGGAAATATCATTCAAATGCAGAAACATTCACAGAATTCACATCGATTTTATTATGATCTCATCTATCTATAATATATTGATTGTTGACGTTTGGCTGCTTTCAAGAATGTTTATAATCGGGTTAATGCTGCTTTCTAGTGTTACAATTGTGATGTTTGTGTTTGGCAACTGTATAACAGTTTCTTTTAATTTGCGGCAAACCGTTTTTCCATCAAGCCGTTTCAATAGATCGGAACAAATATAAAGGCTTTCGATTGGGCATCTCACGATTTCGTCATAGTATCCAACTGGAAATGGATAAATGGAAACTTAAAAAAAATTGTCCGAAAAAATGTGGGAAATAAAAAAAAGTTCTCATCACCTGGACATTTTTCATCCTTCTTCAAGCATTGTTCGATTTTATTGTCCGTGATAATAGCTCTTTCACATGTTATGCATCCATTCGCTCCAATTGTGTCGCTCGGGCCAGTGCAACCACCGGTGCATGTTTCATGGCAATTGACACAGATTCCATTTCGAGCATATTTTGAATTAGGACACACGGCCAAGCAATTCTCCCCATCTCGAACGTGTTCGCATTCAAGACAATCAGTGGCCTCGGGTCCTGTACACGATCGCTTACATTCCGGATGACATTGGCCACAATGGTTTTTATCAGGCGTTGTGTACAAATTCTGTTGACTCTCACACGTTTGCAAGCAAGTTCTATTGTACTTAACATGCTTACACGCTAAACATTGATCGGGACCGGCGCCCCAGCATCCAGCCTCTGTACATTCATCTGAACAGTATTGAACACGCCTCCCTATTCAAATACAAACAAAAATTAATAAAATTCATAAAAAAAGTCTTTGCTCTGCAGATCAAATCAATTTGGGCAGTAAGTATACTTACTGCATTCGTCAGGGTCCTTATTATTGCTAATCATTGAATCGTGTTGATCTGACTTTTTGATTTTCTTCCAGTCGATATTGTTGGCAAAGCAAAGATTCTTATTTTCCAGTATCACAACTGCCCCAAAATTGATTTGCCGCAATGAACGTAGCTCTAATGACTTTAAGTTGGTTTTTACAATGTATAAGGAGGCAAAGTTCGTATCGAGCAATTGACGACCGCCGATCACTTCGAGATTTCGAAAGTAGGACAGATTTGTGAAATCTTGGTGATCTCCCTGTATATTAATGAAACCAGTCACTTCACGCAGAGTTGAGAACACTTCCATGCGATCCGGATGCATTTTAATGAATCGTGGCCCAAACGAGAAATTGGAATACACTTGCTGATAGCCGTTGAATGTTTGATCTAATATTTCGAGTGTTCCTTCGATGATAGTGCAGCCGCGGAACGAATCAATATTACCGGAATGAACAACACCTGCAAACGGACATGTCTTTGGGCAAGGGCCATCGCAAAGAACACATTCACCATTCTTCGCCATTTTATTCGCCGGACACGTTCTCACACAAGCGCCGTTATCTTTAAGTAAATGCTCAGGACAATTTCTTACACACGTGGCTCCGTATGCGTATTTTCCGTCTGGATTTTGTTCCCATAGATAAGTTGTTGGATTGTACTTTTGCATCGGTGGACATTCATGCTTACACACGCCGTCATCGTAAAAGTTTCGACATGCTAAGCACTCATTCTGGGTTGAACCAGTGCAACCACCAGCGCAAAATAAATGACAGCAATCACGCGGATTTGGGCCAAAGCAACGACCCTCTCCACATTGCGGCGAACAATTGATTTTGCTGAATTTCTGACAGTTGTGTGCTCCTTCGCCCCAACAACCGGCAACGCACGATGGATGGCATTTCGGGCACGCCGGTTCAGGAAATGTAAAATTGTATACGTATCTCGATACTTCTCCTGGTCCTGTGATTTAGAACGAAGAGAATGTAACAATTGTTGTATTTGAATATTTCGTTTGAATCGAATTTTAGCTCGTTATAGCTAAAAATGACCGAAATATATGTACCTGTAATAATTTCTTCCCAATTGATCGTTTGAATAAAGCAGAGATTTTGATTGTTGAATATGAACACCGATCCAGACAAAATATCACGTAGTGCCGGTAATTCTAGCGAATCCATTTGCGAGTAGCTTACAAATAATCCAAATTGTTCATCGTAAATGTTCAATTTGAATAAAGTTCGACCACGAATAATTTGCAAACTAAATTTAGAATGGAAAAAAAATCAGAGTGCGTATTACGTAAGTTGGTCGTTTCGATGGAGGCGAAACAAAAATGTGTATCGTCTAAATTACCGTGGTAAAATGATGCTCTTCACATGCACATGGCTGATCAAAACATATCCCGAAACTTCGCGAATATGCTGTAAAAAATTCAAATCCATGTTGGTACTTTCGAGCCATGTTAACTCTAAATTTCCGTCGACGTGTGTGCAATTCGTAAAGCGATCGCGTAAGTTACGATAATGATGGTTTCGGTTTGGGGGTACTGACATACGTACATTGGTACCGATGCAAACTGTTGGAAAATTTCAATATATCGTTACTTTGAATAAAAAGGCGAGTGAATACAAACAGAAACCAAGATAATATTTTTCATCATGAAAACTTACCCCTCATATCCTGACCATCTTCACTGGCTTTGGAAAATGAAGCCAAAAATGCCAGCGTTAAAAGTAAAACGAAAGGTATAAACTTGTTCATTTTTAGGAAGTTATTTCATTTACGAAACGAAATGAAAACTTCTTTTCTTAAACGGTCCTAAAATGGTGAAAAAGGATGAAATAAAACGTTCAAGTATGGTTTAGAAGGAATACGAAAATAAATATGTAATGCTGAAAATTGTCCGTTTCGAGATCTTGAAGTACTATATCAATGATGTCGTCTCTGCGGAATCTGAACAGCTACTAAATTGCACTGATTGCTTTACTTATAAATTAAAAAGCATCCGTTAATTATACTATGCCAGTTGAAAATTGAAAAAAATTGTTTGTATGCCTTTTATTTGACCCTATAAAATTCTTTGAAAAGATTTATTTATAAAATGGCTTGTATTTTTGCACCAAATCTTGCAACTAGCGAGAGTTCTTAAAATGTATATGTTTTGATAACACCAAACCCTATCAAAGCAAAAGTCTGATCTTGCTGGTTGCGTTTTAATTAATGCTGGTCTCAACAGTATCAATTATATCAGTCGAGTTCAAGGGTTATTATTGATTTGTTGAAATGCAAACCACGACATGTATTCGCCATTTGCGTGTGCTATTGATTTGAATATAACAGTATCAAAATATTGCACCGAGCAAGAAAAAAGAACTAACGGCTGGTTTGTTTTTGCGAACTGATATTTTTTCAATCTTCAAACAAAATAAATCGTTACCAAGCATTCATATTGTAAAACCTCCTTAAAAAGTGTTGATTTATCAAAAAATATTTTTTTCTTTCTTACCTAGAGAAATGGTCCGATAGAAATCCGTCTCTATCTCTGCTGGAAGAAGTGATAAAACTGAGTGAATATCAATATTTGACGAAACAAAATAAACAAAAGCACACACTACGATTTACTGCAGTTCCAGCACAAAGACAAGTACACTTCGTAGTCAGTGTAAAAAGGAATACATACGATGTGTTTCTCCAACGAAAAAGACATTGTTTCCCCTCTTTCTTTTATGATGTGAAACACTGTCTTCTTGTTCTCTTTTCTCTTTGCTTCGTTCGGTGCATTCTATATGAAGTTGCCCAGACAGTTGTTCACATGTTCACAAGAAAATAAGTGTAAAGAAACCAATATTTCGTCTCTTTCATGTGTTTTAAAGCAACTGCACCTTTTGAGATCGAACCGAAACATTTGTTACAGAACGATTTTCGATCATGCTTTGTTCATGTTCTGGGAACACCGGTCGAAATTGAAAAGAGCTATATGATAAATGGTTGAAACAGTCAGTTTCTTCTTGTTTATGCACAACATTCGTACTGGGGTACAAGTTATTCAACGCTGATTTTCGGTTTTCGAAGCATTTATTTTTGTGCGTTCATCTCATTTTGTTGCCACTTATATTTTAATGACTGGTTTGACTTGGTTTTGAACACTATTTTTTGCTTGAATATTTTATTATTCAACAACAATTGTTGTTTTTAGCCATAATTTTGCCAAATGAAGAAATTATTAAAATTATTCATCAAAGCTGATAATTTAACACCGAAATTGGAATCGAAATTTTGTTGCGTTTTTATTTAAATTTTGGACAATTCTTTCTCTGCGAGCGGCTCATTTTTTTCTATTTCATCCTGCTCATCGCTTTCTTCTTCCTCATTATTAGATGAGGGCGATTTGACGACGGAAGAAACAGCCTGTGAAAAATCATTCCAATGATCCGTGATACATAAATTTCTTTGCACTTCGGAATCTGGAAGAAGAGCGGAAATAGTTTTTTTTAAGGAAAACATTCAATTTTTCCCACCGTATGTCTTTTACCAGGAGTTATGTCGTTCGCTAGGTTTGATAAATAAACGTTTTGCTCCTGTAAACCACTTGACCCTAGATGTTCACTGCTATTTGGTGGATTTAACGATGTCTGATCGATTTGACTGTCTTGTAGCGGTTGTTCCTTTTATTATGGGAAATATACGTTTCGTATACAAAAATATTATGATTTAAATTTCTTTTTGGCCGATTAAAACGTTGCTAAGTAACGAATCGGCTGTTCCGATTCTTGAACATTGCATTTGCATTGATTTATTGCAAATCAATGATCATAAAATCATAAATGATTCGAGTGTATTTAGTTACTTACTGGTGTTGATTTCGGATGAATCGGCGAGTCTAGCAGTGTATACACCGCTTCGTATTTCGATGCAAGGGTTTGAAATTCAGCATATTCCTTCATTAATTGAACATTTCGATATTATTTGAGTTAAATTTTAATGGGAATATGACAAAAATATGAATGGTAGTGATAAAACATGTTGTGTCACATCAAACACATACTCACATCAAATGTTGGCAAGTCAACTGGCATATCGGCCCCATAGTGTCTCGACCACCAATCTAAATCGGTGCGGTAATCGGCATTGTCAACTGTTTTATGGAAATCTTCATAAATTTGTGACAAACTATCAGATAAAATAGGGAATTGAATCCATAGCTTTATATAATGATTGTTTGTTAAAGATACAGATTCGATATGTGAATAAAGTTAGAATATAAAAATTAGATTATCAATTCTACCAAAGGTAAATTCCATTTCTGTCGTAATTCTTACCTCGGATCTTGTATGACGTTCAATGCTCGATGCACCGAAAACAAGGCACTCTTAAACAAGGTGAGTCTAGCTGCTTCCATTTCTTGGCATTTCGCGAACAATGTGCTCATATCATGTACGTAGACTGGATGATATTCGTTTAGATTTTGCAATGCGGTTTCATATTGCTCACGGCGCTTGATTAGCTTGCTTTTCGATTTTTCAATGTATGCCACCAACGTTTTTTTCTTAAAGTGAAAAAGAATGAATTCGAAGGATAAATGTAAAAATTGGAATTTCACAAATTGATTTTGAATTCGAATCTCGAATCGAATCCATCAATTGGAAAATGTGTAGTAAATTCAAGCAATGTAGAATGTTATTTTTGGTTAACATACTTGAACTGTTGACAATTTAACTTCAGTGGAAGCCCATCGCACTTGATTCAACAGTATTCTATGATCTTCGCACTGTTTGTGATAATTTTGTTTTGCCCGCTCGACTTTTGCCAACTGCTTTGCGTATGGTTTTTGCGCTTTTTCAAATTGTTCCTTCATCTTTTTGTGCTCTTCAATCTTGGTGAAAACCTGAAATTCCACATTTATTCAACATATCGAAATGTGGCAAATCATTGACGAGTCTCCCCCTTTTGCAATCATTCCAGTCGAAATGTAAGCAATAATGAATAATAAGAATAAACTCTTACCGGTGTGTATGCGCAATTTTGCCAGATTTGCAGCTCTTGAAATTCACCGCATCTCAACCGATTTTTCACCCTTGAGTGAATTTCAGAGAGACATTCGGCTTCTGCTAATATTCCTTTCAATGCGTTTCGCATCGTTCCATATTCAGGGCCTGTCATAATGAGCAAAATATTTAGAATAATGATTTTTTTTTATTGGAACAGTGAACTATAGTATCATTATAATGACAAACCTTTATCTAAAACTACGTTACACAATTTCGCCCAGTCTTTAAGGTTCTTCGCATATGATGCTTCTATTTTGGCTCGCTCTTGAAATAGTTCTTGCAACGTTGAGCATAATCTAACATACAATTCAATTGAAATAATTTGTTTTTCATTTAAAGACCAATAATAAACCCATTACGTTTCATTAAAAATTCAATCTAATCAATTTATAAGTAACAACGATAGTTCCACTTACTTGTAACCATTTTTTATTCGTTTCGTTGTTTTTTTGTAGTTTCCTGGTTGCCAAAAAGAGTTTTTGGCTGCCTTTTTTTGTTGCCTGGTGCGACGTAACATGCTCTTTATTTCTTTTGTCAACGAAAAAAAGGTCGCTCTACTAAAAATAATTTCACAAGGTTTGATTAACAGCTTAAAACTGAAATGAAAATTGCGACTGGATTTTTTTTGTGTTCAAAATCATATGTGAACTACGATTGCGTTTTGAAGAAAGAACAAAGTGACATTTTGTACTAAAATGTTCAAAAATATTGCAAAAAATGTTATTCGTGCGTAGATTGAGGAAGAATATTTCTTTGATTGCACCAAGTCATTCTATTTCTCAACAATTAAGAAATTTTCTTAAGCTAAAGCAGAGGCAAATTAAATCAAATTATCTCATTAATATTTCTTTATTCAAATACGATTTTCGATTGACAAAATTGATTTGGAATCCCATTGATCTGGTACACTCCCTACGAAAATGGGAAAAAGCATTCGATAAAATATTTTTAAGAAAATAATTGAAGCAAACAATTTGAAATCAAATAAAACAATTGAGAATATTCAAATAAATGTACACATCATATGGTCGTGTTGAGTACAGTCTTCATAAGTGTCATCTATCGACATCAACGATATAATGTCCGGTTCTACCGTCCCTTGCTGAGTTTCCTGAAACTAAGGTAATTTAGTTTATGGCCAACTTGTTCGAAATTCGGAACGGAAAACAGGTAAACAGGTCATAACTTTGGTCATTGCCAATAAAAGTACGGCAAAAATGAACCGAAAAAGTCAACAAGCATCATAAAACGTAATTACAGTCATTTCATCGGCAATAGCCCTCACGTGTGTGATTTTTTCTATTCGAGTATCTCTTTCACGATCGTCTACTACAACATCTACACCTTCGTCTGTCTCCATTTTGCTTTCCATTTCGGTCTTCTCACTTTCAGACTTGCTTGTTCTTTAGACAAAAGAAGAGACAGAGTAAACACTTGAGTTTCGAGAGGTTGACAATTTTCATTACACATGTGTTCTACCGTTGGTTTTATTTTTCTCTGGCATTTGGCAGTGACTTTTGCAGTGATTTATGGAACCGAAATCTTAGAAAAACTCAGTTCTCAGACTATCCAAATTTGCTCATTTAAATATAAGGTCGCATTCGATATTTTACCCTTTCACAAGTTTAAATTACAAACAAGTATAGAACAAATGCCATTTTCTCCCATTTATGATGCTTTCATAAACTTAATCACTACTAAGAAAATATTTGGCAGAAACTAATTGAATTAGAAGTTAGCCTCACAATTTTAACGCCCAATGCGATTTTTTTAAATGAGCCAATTTGAATATTTGGAGAACTTGGTTGTTCTTAGTTTAAGTCATCCAAATCACTGTTATAGTTCAAATCGATTGCCAGAGAAAAAAACGGTAGAACTGTATTATAAAAGCCTACATTGCCGTTGAAGGTTGTTCTATGACGAAAATGTCCAATTTTTCGAGAGTTTGAATTTTCTCATATTGTGCATATTCCTGAAAACAATATTCAAAATATTTCAAAGGAGAATTCGAAAAGATAAAACAAAGAGTAACAAAAATAAACAGACGATGAATTGTGGTGCACTCGTGTCAATCGCATGATTGGTCGACCACATCTTTAAATCCTTTTCATAATCGACTTGTTCAATGACGTGATGTAATTCATCATAAATTGGTGCCAAACTGAAAATAAACACACAAAAAAGCAGTCCACTTGAGACGAGTACCATAACACAAGACTATAGAGACACAGACTTTGGGTTTTGTGACAAGTCAAGCGTTCGTTGCAGCGAGTGTAAAAGCGCTTTGTAGAACTGTAACTCGACCTTTTCCATTTCTTGGCACTTGAGAAACGCAGATGTCATATTTCTTATATACTTCGGATGGTAGCGCATCAATTCGTCCAATGCATCTTGATACTTTAAACGGCGACGATAAATTTTATAATCGGCTTCTTCCATAAACACTTGCATTCGTCGAACCTAAAAACAAGGAAGTAACACATATGCACCCAAGTGTTGCATTCAATCGCGTTATAATTTCATAAATTATTGGATTTTTTTTTAAATTCAAGAGATAAAATGGTTTTTTTTACCAACCTGCGGTGGGATTAATTTTTCAGCCAGAGCATAACGCACTTGATTCATCACTATCTCAGCATCTTTACATGCACGGTAATAATTTCGTTTTGCCTTTTCAATCTTTTTCAAATGCTTAACATATGGTTTTTGGGCGCGTTCGAACAGTTGCTCCATTTCCTTCCGCTCTTCAACTTGAAAGAGTTTCTGAAAGGAAAATGAATGGATTTGTTTTTCATTGAATTCCAATGATAGAAAATAGAAGAAAAAAAAGATAAATCGAGAAATAAAACGAAATGAGCTCCGGACAAAGGATGAAAGGTAAGAGGTTCAATAGTTACCAAGTTCAATAGTTGTTTTTGAAAAAACCCTTTCCGGAAGATGCGAATGCGTTTCGATTCGTTGCAGCGTAAGGTAAGATTTGTTTTTGCGTGAATATCAGCGATTTGTTCACCTTCATCGGCAATATTTTTCGGTAAAGATGCCGTTGTGCCATATGATATATCTATGCCAATCAATAGGATCAAAAAAATGTATGGGAAAAAATTGAGAATTTGAGCATTTTTGCTTAATCCTTTTGACAAAAAGGAAAAGAACGAAAAAACCAGATCAACCAACCGGATTCAGCAACGTTACGCCACTTTTTCGACCATAATCTCAGACTTGATGCATAGGATTTTTCAATTTGAGCTCGTTTGTCGATAAGTCCCTCTAAGCCATGACACAGCCTAATTCACCAAGAAGGAAGAGAGAAAAAAACACACACAACATGTTCATGATGCAATAAAAATCAATGTCAACGCATAGTTTTTTCTTTCTTCTAAAACGAAACCAACTCACGCATAGCCTTTTTGAATACGTTTTGTCGTTTTTTTGTAGTTGCCTGGCTTCCAGAAGGAATTATCTATTGCCCGCAGTAATTGTGGCATGCTCAATGAAATGGAAATCTAAACTCGAACCCCGAAAATCGTATCGTGGAAATAATCAACATCTAGTTACTTAGCGTTCACTGACAATTTTGTTTCTTTTTTTTTTCGTGTGTACAGAAACCGAAATGGAAACTGTGATTGAAGTTCAAATTCATGGAAATAATGACGTCGTTTTGTGTGTGATACACATAAAATAAGAGAAGAATGAATAAAAAAAAAACAATCATCTGCCGCATCTGCACTTGAAAGGGAATCGGATGTCAGAAGAGGAAGTATCTTTTTTTTCGATCCATTTTCTTTCATGTAAACACGTACCGTAATTCAATTCTTCATCGTGAACCAGCGTTTAGTTGTTGAACAATGTTTTTCTTTTTCGCTGTTGTAATGATTTTACTCCTCTTTATTACAAATAATAAACAAAGCGTCGAGTGCGTGGAGTATCATACATTAATTGGTCAAAAAATGAAATACAGAAAAAAAAGATCCGACGTCCGATAAAATGGATTCAATGTGATTTATTACAAAGTTCATTAATTCAGTCAACCATCCGTTTCCATTTCGTGTATTTTATGCACGTCGCAAATGAATTGCGCGAATAAATCGAAAAATATGCAAAATTCGCTTAAAAAGATACACTTTATTGCTCATTCCAGCAAATTTACAAATTTTTTTTTATTGAAGGCTCTGTGTTTGACGGGCGCGCGTGTGTATACTCGCTCTGCAACGTTTATTAGCCCATATCATACGACAAACCTTTGACATTGAATCATTTAACGCTACAATTTTTTAGTGGGAGCCAAACATTGCGAACACTGATGATAAAAAAAAAAATTAGAAGTGTAAATAATGGCGGAAAAAAGTTGAAGTTCGGTGGTTTAAAACTGAAACGGTGTGAATTGTATTTGCATTTGGCGGCAAAGTCATTGTCAATGTCAAAGATAAAATGTGATTCGGTGCAAAAATCACCGTGTGCACACTGCACAAAGTTTTTTTTCACCAGAAATTCGTTTTCTCTTTTTTTCGGATATACATAATTTTGCTCGTGTTCTCACACACCCAGAGAATGAATTCAATTGAAATCGTTTCAATAGTCAAGTTCGAGTCAGTTCAACATCGTGGGGCCCGAGAGAATTCATTCAATTTTTTTTTTTCGGAAAATATCTCACAATTTACTAGCCGCACACAGCGACAAGACAATAATAATATTTACATTTCGTCGTCTTTTTTTCTGTCTTGTATTACGTTGTAAAGATAGTAGTTATCTGCTACTGTGGGGATTACGCAGTATCGTTTATTCAATGGCATATTGTTTACGCGGCTGGGCCCAACCGTTAATGAAATTAGATTAAGTATACATTTTTTTTCGGTGTATTTTTACACAATGCAACCGACAAATGGAAAGAAACAAATCTTTTACTCTTCGAGTTCATTCAACTATTTTCTATCTATGGGCATTTGCATTCAGTTTTTCGTTTCGCCGAATGCGCAATCGGAAAATTCGATTCGAAATGAGCAATTTGGAAGCTAAATAGTTATTTGGTATTAATAGGTATTTTGTAGCTGAAAATTTCAGCGGAAATGAAAAAAATGTAAAAATATGAATCGAAACAAAAATATTTCAGCTAAAAATGTGAATCATCGTTTGAATTGTTGTTATCGATAAAAACGTTGGCTCTAAGCCAAGTTCTTTTTTTCTTTCGATGACTAAACCAATTTTTTTTTTTTTCGGTGACCAAAACCAATTTCTTTGGTGTATAACAAAAATGATTACACAGTCACAATTGCGACATATTATCGACGTATTCAGAGGTAATGAGGCTACTTTATCAGCAAAACATGAACATAAGCTACATACAAAATGTTTTTTTTTTATCGCATAGCGCAAGCATTTTATGTACGAAACAAATTCAAGTATCAATAAAAAAAAGGCGCCTGAAAAAAATGAAGCGCATAAGCACTTTCATTTGAATGCCACCATTTGAATTGTGGAAAAAGACGCATTGGATTTTAACAGCGATTGGTCTTCGTGCAGTTGCATCGAAAAGTGAGTATTGTGTACGTAAAGTCATCACGAGATCTGTTTTTTTTTATTAGTTATGGAATTTTAGATGAAAACAATACGCTTCAACTGAACATAATATACGAAAAGCGTAAAAGTAAAGTCGAATAACCGATTTGTTGTATATGTACACAGCGAGAACATGAAATAGAAGATCATATATCGCCTCAGTCGGCTCTCGGGATTGTTAGGTTCGAATCACATCACTCAACCTCTCTAACTTTCGCCTTTGTCTGTTCATTCGTTCGTTTGTTCGTTTCAAACAAACAATAACAACGATATTCTGAATAGAATCATAAGTTCGAGTGGCTGAGAACATTTATTATTTGGGCTTATTTACATTCCATATTTTCCTACGAATGCATGACGATCTCGTGTATTTCGGGTCGCTTCGACCCGTGTATTGGATTCGTGCGTATTCATTTTGTGTGTGTGTGTGTGTGTGTGTCGCTCTGTGTATGCGAGTGAGCGCGCGGTATGGCAATATATGTGTGTAGAGTGGAAAGATATTTCGTTAGTTCATTCGTTCGTACAACACACGCTAAATAGATAGATGCCCAACTATATGTGGGAACAAGAGAGCAAGACCACGACTCTTATGTGAGCCCAGCACTTCTACCTAGCCACTTGTTTACAGGCATTCGACAAACTGAAAAGAAAGAAGAAAGAAAAAAACAACCGAGTTACACATAAGTATCGCACACACTGTCGAAAAAATTCCTCTACATCGACAGCGATGTACGCCGTATGAACTGAGCAGAGCACCGTGTACATGATCGTGTTGTGTGTGCATGTGTTCATATGTGTGTGCTTGTGATGTGTTCGATGTTGTCATACATGTTTTTTTTTCGGGTTTGTGTATCGTCACACAGCGACAACGACAACGACATCAACGACGATGGTTCCAGTTATGTGCATATGTATTGGTCACCTGCTTCACTAAAGTCGAATGCGACTGTGCACATGTATAGAGCCTTTCTTTTCGAAACGAAAAATTTTTATAAGAAAAATCAAAGACGAAACACATCTGTGCGCGTCTGTAAGACATACTTGCTTCCTTCTGTAAAATAAATTCATTTCTCGTGCACAAATCCAATTGAAAATGTGAAAAAATAGACTCTCACAATTTGTGGTGAAAAATAGACAAACTTATCGAATTAAAATGAAAAGTTTTTGTAAAAATTAAGTGTGGAAAATTTGGAAAAAAGAGAGAAATAGTTTGTCTGACGGTGTATGTGCTCGTAGCAGTTCTTGGACTGGAACCTCTTTCTGTGTGCTGAATTCAACATTTTTCATTGTATCTGTTCTTCGACTCGAGTTTATTTTTTTTTTCTCTTCTTCTGCTTCCAATACAGTGTGTGTTTCTGAAACGAATTTTTTTTTCTATTGGATGAAATCAACTAATTAAAAATAGCTACATTTTTAATTCATTAGTAAGCAAAAGTGATAATAAAAAAAAAAATTCAATTAGTTGGAAAGCAGTACTGTGTGTTTCACGTTCAATCAGTGCATTTTCATTGGATAAATTCCTTTATCTACCATCGTTTGCTGCTGCAGCCACCGTCGACGTCGTTTTCGTGCAATCGAAATCGAACATGGCTCCAGCGAGCCAATCATAAATAGTGTTGGCGCAATCATATTTTATTTAGATCGAAATGGAAAAAATGTTGTGATTCAAAAAATGTGTGAACAATCAGAAAGTGCTGATTTAACAAATAATTGTTGTGTGTGTGTGTGATTTGAATTGGCACGACGTGTGCATTTATCATAAAATGGATTACAGATTAACTTATGGATTAATTTGGGCGCTGGTTTTGGTCACATCGACTTGCAGTGCTTATATCGATGAACAAGATATGAGAGGTGAGTTTTTTTTTATCATTTTTTCTTTCTTTTTTTTTGCTTTCGTCCAAGATCTGCGATAGATAATTCGATTTTTTATATAATATCAAATTGTTGTTCGCATTGAGGTCGAACGGCGAACGGGCGTGCTTGCGGTGCATTTGATTTGATATCAGACTTTAATTGGGTTCAATGTTCAAGGAATCGTTCCGAATATGTAATATACACTAAACGTGATGTTCAATCAAAATAGTTGCGCAGCAGGTATCCTAAGCTCATCGAGTCGAGTGGCGGCGACGACGACGGTTGCAGCCGTTAACTGATATCGATCGCATTTTTGTTTCATTTCAACCAATTAAAAAAATGTTGTGATTTCTTCTATTTTGCATAAAAATGTCTTTGTTTTGTTTTTATATATCGCAAGAGAAAAAAGAAAAAAAAAACAAGGAGAAAAAAAACGAAATCGAAGGCGAATGGTATTGATTTGGATTCCTAAATATCTAAGCGCAAACAATACTTTTCCCACACATTTAAACGGAAAAGCAATACAACTACACTGATCACGAGATCATATATCGCGCGCAGCATAGTCAATCCCAATCACATCAATTTTTCTCTCGCTCTCGCTCACTTACTTTCGGTCGCTGTTTGTGTCGTTGGTTGGCTCCATTCGTTCGTTAACACATAGCATTCTGAATGGAATCGTTCGTTCGTTCGTTCGTTTGGCTGTGCTTCTTCGAGTGGCTTATTCACATTCCATTTTTCTGTGCATGATCTCACGTCTCTTCGCTCGAATCCGACTTTGTACATGTATGAGAACGCTCGTATATGCGTATATGTTTGTAGTTCTTTACGTTTATACGAGTGAGACACACTCGTAGCGCATTATTTTGTGTTGTTTGCGTGTACATTTTTATGCGTTGGATGCTTAAAACTCTACGAGGCGCTCCGTATACGAACGGTATTTTTTTACCTACCTGGCCACTTGTTTACAGGCGTTACAAAATGGTTGCACATAAATAAAGCATACTCTCTTGAATTTCGTGTACCATCATCATCATCATCCACAAAGAGCAGCACACATCTTGTGCATGTGTACATGTGCATCACAGAAAAAAAACGCACATGTGTGTACGTTGTCTTTCAGTCTCTTCTTCTCAGCTTCTTTTTAATTCCTCTTTGGTCCGATATACGCGTATACATTTTATACGTGTGTAGAAAAGGTACAGAACCTTTGCACAGATGCCATCAACATTACATTACATCTTCCTCTGCGCTGAGATTTTTCCAGAATATGCATGTGTATTGGTTACCTGCTTCGCTTACAAGACGACATCTTAAGTGTACAAGAGCCTTTCTTTGTTTTTTTTTCTCTTCTGCTGCTGCTGCTGCTGCTTCTTCTTCTTTTTCTTCATTCCACGAATTGAAATATTTCTGTTCAATAACTTATATCGAATACATGCTACGGATCGTTTGTTCATTCGCTCAAGAAATGAAATTCATTTTTTTTTTAATGAGATGTTGATTAATGATAATTGAACGACAATAATTGAAATGATGTACGATGAATATTTATAAGTAACACGGTGAATAAATAATATGATGAAATTTCCTTTACAGTATGCATCGGCACTAATGGACGTATGTCAGTACCCTCAAACAGAAACCATCATTATCGTAACTTACGCGATCGCTTTTCGAATTGCACACATGTCGATGGAAATTTAGAATTAACATGGCTCGAAAGTGCCAACATGAATTTGGATTTTTTACAACATATTCGTGAAGTTACGGGATATGTTTTAATCAGCCATGTGCATGTGAAGAACATCATTTTACCACGGTAATTTAGACGATACACATTTTTGTTTCGCCTCCATCGAAACGACCAACTTACGTAATACGCACTCTGATTTTTTTTCCATTCTAAATTTAGTTTGCAAATTATTCGTGGTCGAACTTTATTCAAATTGAACATTTACGATGAACAATTTGGATTATTTGTAAGCTATTCACAAATGGATTCGCTAGAATTACCGGCACTACGTGATATTTTGTCTGGATCGGTGTTCATATTCAACAATCAAAATCTCTGCTTTATTCAAACGATCAATTGGGAAGAAATTATTACAGGTACATATATTTCGGTCATTTTTAGCTATAACGAGCTAAAATTCGATTCAAACGAAATATTCAAATACAACAATTGTTACATTCTCTTCGTTCTAAATCACAGGACCAGGAGAAGTATCGAGATACGTATACAATTTTACATTTCCTGAACCGGCGTGCCCGAAATGCCATCCATCGTGCGTTGCCGGTTGTTGGGGCGAAGGAGCACACAACTGTCAGAAATTCAGCAAAATCAATTGTTCGCCGCAATGTGGAGAGGGTCGTTGCTTTGGCCCAAATCCGCGTGATTGCTGTCATTTATTTTGCGCTGGTGGTTGCACTGGTCCAACACAGAAAGAGTGCTTAGCATGTCGAAACTTTTACGATGACGGCGTGTGTAAGCATGAATGTCCACCGATGCAAAAGTACAATCCAACCAATTATCTATGGGAACCAAATCCAGACGGAAAATATGCATACGGAGCCACGTGTGTAAGAAATTGTCCTGAGCATTTACTTAAAGATAACGGCGCTTGTGTGAGAACGTGTCCGGCGAATAAAACGGCGAAGAATGGTGAATGTGTCACCTGTAACGGCCCATGCCCAAAGACATGTTCGGGTGTGGGTGTTGTTCATTCCGGTAACATTGATTCGTTCCGTGACTGTACTATCATCGAAGGAACACTCGAAATATTGGATCAAACATTTAACGGCTATCAGCAAGTGTATGCCAATTTCTCGTTTGGGCCACGATTCATTAAAATGCATCCGGATCGCTTGGAAGTGTTCTCAACTCTGCGTGAAGTGACTGGTTTCATTAATATTCAGGGAGATCACCAAGATTTCACAAATCTGTCCTACTTTCGAAATCTCGAAGTGATCGGCGGTCGTCAATTGCTCGACACTTACTTTGCCTCCTTATACATTGTAAAAACCAACTTAAAGTCATTAGAGCTACGTTCATTGCGGCAAATCAATTCAGGGGCAGTTGTAATACTGGAAAATAAGAATCTTTGCTTTGCCAACAATATCGACTGGAAGAAAATCAAAAAGTCAGATCAACACGATTCAATGATTATCAATAATAAGGACCCTGATGAATGCAGTAAGTATACTTACTGCCCAAATTGATTTGATCTGCAGAGTAAAGACTTTTTTTTATGAATTTTATTAATTGTTGTTTGTATTTGAATAGGGAGTGGTGGTCAATACTGTTCAGATGAATGTACAGAGGCTGGATGCTGGGGCGCCGGTCCCGATCAATGTTTAGCGTGTAAGCATGTTAAGTACAATGGAACTTGTTTCCGATCTTGTCAAAGCGAAACGAATTTGTACACAATGCCCGATAAAAATCATTGCGGCCAATGTCATCCGGAATGTAAGCGATCGTGTTCAGGCCCTGAGGCCACTGATTGTCTTGAATGTGAACATGTTCGAGATGGGAAGATCTGTTTGGCTGAATGCCCAAAGACGAAATACGCTCGAAATGGAACGTGTTTCAATTGCCATGAAACATGCACCGGTTGCACTGGCCCAAGAGATACAATTGGAGCCAATGGATGCATAACGTGTGAAAAGGCGATCATTAATGATAATAAAATCGAAAGATGCTTGAGAGAGAGGGAAAACTGCCCAGGTAAATTTGAATAAAGAGCAATTGGAGACATTTGATTAAATTTCACTGTCTTTTCCTATAAATCCACCTAATACCAATGTTTTTCTCCCCATTTCACCTTTCCACAGTCGGATACTATTATGAATACGTCTTTCCACAAGAGCAAAGTATACTAAAACCATTGGCCGGCAAAGCAATTTGTCGCAAATGCCATCCACGATGCAAGCGGTGCACAGGCTACGGTTTCCATTCACAAGTCTGCCAAGAATGTGCTGGCTACAAACGAGGCGAACAATGCGAAGATGAATGCCCGACTGATCATTATGCGGACGACGAGCGTCGTGAATGCTTTGCATGTCACGGAGAGTGCCGTGGATGCAGTGGACCTGGACCAGATACCTGTGTGCAATGCCAAAATTTCAAAATATACAACGGTGATCCAAATGATAATTCCACATTATTCAACTGCACAGCCACTTGTCCACCCGAATTCCCGTACAAAATGCTCAATGAATTAACTTACATGCACTACTGCAGTGCAGTTGCAGCAAAAGCTGGATTCGCATCGGGCGAATCAACCGAAACAATTATGTATTTGGCTATAGCATTTATCGTACTGTTGCTGTTGTTTGCCGCTTTGATAATATCATCGTTGCATTGTCGACAAAAGGCCAAAATTAAAAAGGAAATTGTGAATACGACGCGAATGTTATCGGGTTGTGAAGATGCCGAGCCGTTGCGACCATCAAATGTTGGTGCGAATCTGTCACAATTGATAATGGCCAAGGTTGATGAGTTGAGCATGGGTCCGCTATTGGGTCGCGGTGCATTCGGTGAAGTGTACAGAGGATATTGGAAGCCAGAATATGCTAAAGACAAGATTCCCGTTGCGATAAAACAACTGACGAATGTAAGCGGTGATGCGTATGGAGCGAGCAAAGAGTTTTTGGATGAAGCAATGATGATGGCTAGTGTTAGGCATGGATACATTCTGCGACTGCTTGCCGTTTGTATGGCAGACAAAATGATGTTGATCACACCATTGATGACGAACGGTTCGTTGCTAGAGTATGTGAAAAGCAGAAAGGGTAAAATCAGTTCACTACAATTACTCACCTGGTCAACACAAATAGCCAAGGGAATGGCGCATTTGGAAGAGCGCCGTTTGGTTCATCGCGATTTAGCCGCTCGAAATGTGCTGGTCAGTCCACAGGTATCGGCGAAAATTGCCGATTTCGGTTTGGCCAAACTGTTATCCAACGATAACGATGAATATAAAGCGGCCGGTGGTAAAATGCCAATCAAATGGCTTGCGCTCGAATGTATTCGTCATCGAATATTCACAACAAAATCAGACGTGTGGGCGTTCGGTGTGACCATATGGGAGCTGCTTACGTTTGGCAAACGGCCATTCGAAAATATCCCAGCCCGAAATGTGCCCGAAGAAATTGAGGCTGGTGTAAAACTAAAGCAACCCGACATCTGTTCACTGGAGTTGTATTGTACGTTGCTCACGTGTTGGCAAATTGATGCCGATAGTAGGCCAACATTCAAAGATTTAGTGGCCGATTTTCAAAAGTATGCAAGTGATCCAAGTCGTTACCTAGCTATTCAGGGCGATACACAATACACGAGCCACGATGAAAAACGTACGCTGGCCCGGCAACAACTCAATCAGGACACGATGACAGAGCGAAATGCGCATCGATTGTCACAAACAACGGCTGGCCCAAGCAATGCGCAGCCCATTGCAAACGCGTTGAAAATGTATAATTTAAACTCACGCGCCAAACTTCCAAACGATGATGAAACCGACTCACACCGTGAGATCTGCATAGGTAACATAAGATTAGATTTACCCTTAGATGATGATGACTATTTAATGCCCACATGCCAAAGCGAAGAGAATGCGACACCCGGCTATATGGATTTACTGGGAACACCAGCTCCAGCCTGTGTTGACAACCCTGAATATTTAATGAACACGATATCAACCATTCAAACGCCATCCACATCATCGTTGTCGACGGTGACATCAGCGGCGGCCGCTGTGGCATCGGCGATGGCGACTTCAAGTCGATCGCCTAATTCACCGCCCACACAAACCATTGGCATTCCAGTCATGAATGGTAACAGTCATCCGTCAGAGAATGTCGAACAAGACTCGGATCGTGAGTACTACAACGATTTGCAGCGTGAACTGCAACCGTTACAAACAAACGAGACAACCGTTTAGATTTAATACGAAATGCCTGGCATTAATCAAAACTACAAAACAAATTGTACAATATATTATATTTTTTTGTTCTAATTATCATGACAAACATGTGTAACCTGCAGCTCAAAACTGATGTGCAGCTAAAAAAAAGAAGTGGTTGAGTGTCTGTTTCTATTTTCCACACTCAGACATTCAAATGTCATATTAAAAAAAAAAGTTAAGCTTTGATAGCAACACCAATTTCTATGCAATTTCTATCATGCATTTGCATGATGACACGAGATCATTCAAATGATGACGAAGAAAGTTGGAAAACAAGAAACATTTACTTTGAGCAACTAAGTGCCTATTTTATTTAGAATTGTTTCGAAATAATTGACTTATATTTACTTTTAGGTGTAGGTAATCGAAATATCACTAGTGTTTTTTTTTTGTATTTTAAGGAAAAAGTGCCGTTTTTATATTAATTGCAAGTAACTAAGAAATTGTACTTATACACACGCAGATGTTAGAGTATTAGAATTGTGAATTAACAGTATAGAAAACGAAACATTTGATTAAATTACATGAAAATTGAGTCACATGACATACAAATTAGGTTAATGCAACAACAGCAGCTACAACAAACAACAAAAATAATTTTAAATCATATCATCAAATTGTGCACATATTCCGATAGACATGATCGTCTATTGGGAAAACCCAGAATATTCGGAAATGTTTTAGATTTTGAATCAAAAAAACAACACCAAATACAAGTGCACCAAACAGCACACTCAAGAGCACTCAATTTTGAAAAAAAAAAATGCAAAATGTGTGCACGCGCTAACCCTATCTGAATGATTGAATAACCACTTTTAGACGATGGAATTGCATGTTCTTCTAAGAAAAAACATAGAAATATGTTTTGGAAACACACAAAAAGAAGTTTCATTTCAAGTGTGTGTACTTTGCTAAAAAAAAAAAAAACTAATTAGAAACGAAAGGAAAAAAAATTATTACCTGCACTTAATGGAATCTGTGATAAACTCAGCTAATGTGCGCATAATGAAAACGAAACGAAATGAAACATGTGTTGAGAACATTCGAAATCCTCCATTGAAACACACACACACACAAAACTTAATATTGATTAGATTCATAGGCAGTAGATCAACAAAATACAACAAAACCACACTCACACAACAACCTACAAATATTTGAATTTATTAGACGAAACCCATGTGCCTTGTCTCTCCTTTTTTATCTTTTCCTGCTATATAAATGAGGATCCTTGAATGTGTTTTTATTTTGTCCTTTCAATTTTGTATTATTCTTAGACTAGCCTTCTTTTCGCAAACTAAACTTCCATTTTTTTTTCTTAATTTACCTTTCCGGAAATGATTTCAAGTCAGATTCGGGCTGGAAATTGTATGCTTGCCGATTAATTGAAACTACACATTTTTTTTTCTTCACTAAGACAACAACAGAACAATTTTTATCTTCCTATATTTTATTCAATTGAACACATTTGCATTGCAAAACGTAAGCGTTTAAATAGAGATACGATTCCAGAACTTAAATTTCAGTACGCATGCATGTTGTATATACGAAAATAGAAAGGACGGGCGTTAGGACACTATATAGTATAGTCAGATGGACGAAGATTGTCAATTCACCTGACACATTCTTATTGAAATTGTAATATCGAATCGAATTGTAAGATTTTAAAACAACTACATTTCTTTTCTCTTCTTATTCTTCCAATTTTATGAAACCAGTTCTAATTTTACACGAAAGGAAAAGCAAATGAGAGCAAAATATTATTTACTTATACACACAAACACAATATACTTAAAGGAAATTCTTTTTTTTTTTTGTTTTTTTGAAATGTTTAAGCAAATGAATCACTAATAGATTTTATATTATAAACCTTTTAAAAAGTACATTCTGTATAAAACAAAAGCAACAACAAAATATCAGATCAAGGTCTCTTAATTGAATTGTAATGGCGAAGCAAGCCAATTTGTTTGTGTCTGATTTTATATTAAAATCGCCAAGTCAACTCAAGTGATTGGAATTGGTTTAATGGAAAATCAACATTGAGACGTTTTTAATGAAACCACTTGATGTGCGTCGAGTGAATACAATGGTGACTTTTTATCTAACCAATTCAAATTGAAATTGAATTCATCGTTTCATCTCGAACAATTGGTTCCAAGAAATCTGAAACACATAACTCAAACCATTCAAATTCAATTGAAAATTGAAATGATTTGAATTATGACTTTCCATTTTCTGGTTCAAATTCGTCGAATTTGAGTTTGTTGAGTTGATTTTTTTTTGTCTACTTAAGTGATTCGAAATCAGCAAAAAGAAAAACCCTATTAAGCAGCTATATATTGCCATATGTGCCAACATCTAAATCGATTTTATTTAATAATTCAGTTTTAAAAAAAAAAGATGAAAATTTTAAGCAGAAACGAGAAAAATCAGTGTAATAAAAGGGCGAAAAAGACAAGTATTTAATAAAAGACAATGAAAAATTGTACATTAATGGATCTTTTTTATTTATCGCATTTCCTTTCTTAGTCGATCAACAAGGATCGATGTTGATGCTAATGAATGATTGGATGAATGATGGGAATGAATGATCAATCGATGAAAAAAAAACATTTTCTCTTTCGATTTCAGCGCGAAGAGTAAGCGACGTTGGCCTTTTGATACAAATCACTCTCTCGAAATTTCATCTCCTACCTTTTTCGCCTTGAACATTTCAGTGACTGTTTCTTTAACTCTTCGCCGAAGTATTTTCCCCGATGGAGTTTTTGGAATGGAATCGATGAAAAAAACCATCGCGTAGTTTGCAGTAATCGGGCATATTTGCTTCAATAAAAATGAGTTTTGAAATGATGAAAATTCTCAAGTCATTTTGAACATAATGATGATCATTTTAGATTTGAAACTGTATGAAATCCAAGATTTCAAATCTCGAATACCTTCAACCATCTTACAAACATCTTGTTCCGTTATTTTCGAGTGATGTGCGCGTAAAACCGCTGCTGCTGGTAGTTCAATCGATGATTCATCAACAACTCCGACGACGCAAACGCTTTTAACATGCGGTGATTTGATAAGAAATGCTTCAATTTCCGAAAGGCACCACCATGTAATGCCAATGGATTATGTCTTTTATCCTATCAACAATATATAAATTTCCGTTTTCATCCACACGACCAATATCGCCGGTTAAGAAGAAACCTTCGTCATCAGTAGCTTTGGCTGTTAGTTCCTGGTTTCGATAGTATCCCAAAAATGGATATGGACTTTTGATGCAAATTTCTCCCTCGATATCGATGCCGCATCGATTACCTTCTGCGTCGATAATCTTCAAACTAAAGCCGTTCAATAGCTGACCCACTGAATCAGTTTCACTGAATTTTGGATCATCGACCGTTACATATCCAGACGTTTCCGTTAAACCATATGCATTGTTCACTGTTCCATTAGGTAAGTATGAATAAAATTCTTTCATCACTGACAATGGTAATTTATAACCAGCCACAACCATGTGTTTTACACTTGTGAAATCTTCTTTAGAAATGAGGCCACTTTTTAACGTTTCAACGACATAATACGATTGCCATACTATAACCGTTACTTTATGCTCTTTTATGATCCGGCGTTGTAATGCTGGAGAAAAGGGTTTAGATGTTGTTACACACGTTGCACCACTAAAAATACCCAATAAAGTGGTAACCAATCCAATCATCCAATTCAATGAACTAAAGCTAAAGAAAATTTCATCGGCGGTTGCTACTTGAAACATTGCCATTTGGTTGATCATGGAGGCATGCGATAAACAGACACCTACAATTATGATTTATTTAATGATTCGGTTTTTTATCATATATAACTTGTATAAATTCAATAGTTCCTTTGCACTCTGCTGTTGTTCCAGATGAGGTCATTATTGGAAGAATGTCATTATCGGCATCAACTGGGCTTGGACTACATCGATTTGAAAAGAATCAAAAGAATTCGTTTGACTTTGCTTTCTTTTCTTTTGATTGAAAATAAATTCACTTTAAAGATAGATTTAAAATAGATTTGTTCTCTACTCTACTCTACTCCATAAAAGAGAATGAGCGGTGAGTGTTTTCATCGGAAACGGATTTATACGGTTTTTTTTTGCGTTTTTTCGGTTTTTCTCTCATAAATCGTACCCCATATGCAATTGAGCAGAATTTTGTGCAGCAATGTTTTGGATCTTGCTAAAACCTACAATTTTGCCGCAGACAGTCATCACTTATCTCTTATCAGTAAGGAGATAATGGCCTTGATAGCTTTTATCAATTATCACTGTTATCTCCTTACTGATAAGAGATAAGTGATGACTGTCTGCGGCAAAATTGTAGATTTCAGCGAGATCTAAAACTTTGCTGCACACAGTTTTGCTACATTGCATATGGAATACGATTTATGGGGGAAAAACCGAAAGCCACTATAAAAACGCCGAACGGAATTGTCGACCGTCAAAAATACTTGACCAAATGCTTGAAATTCAAAAACGAAGGAATAATTTATTTTTTTACCAGTAAATTCTTGGGGCGGACTACCAACAGTTATGTTCAAAACATATTGTTTCAAAAAGACAACAAGAAAAATCAAACGTTTTGTCGATGTGAAATCGATTAAAATTTGCATAAGGCACGTCCGTTTCTATCATTCCAAAAATTCAATCTCTTTGTATTTGGATCGATCGCACGTCGACTACGAGAATGAACAGATCTCAAAGGAACTCTGAAGAATAAAGATGGAGAGAGATAGGTTGTTCCAATATTTTTGGTTCGATAATTCCAAAAACAAGTGTATATATCCTCATGTTGTGGCTGTGCAGTGCTTTATCTCGCCGCTAAAACCAATCATTATCAGTTTTGCACTAATTTTTTGAATATTATTACTATTTCACTGATTAAAATTGCACTCAGACGTTCTCTGTGTCTGACCGAAAAAGTCTAATAAGGAAAAGGGTTTAGGCCTGAACATCACTGATATCTTAAAGTTGATGATCTCAGAATCTGTTCATTAAAATCGCTTTTACGAAAAATGATCGAATAATTTGAAATATGCAAAATTATTCAAGCAATTTTCCGAGGAATGAATATGAATGACTTTCTTTTATTGGTTGATACTTTTTCGGCATTTTACTATTTAAAGCGATGCCTTTTGAATTCGTAGTGGACGCGAAAGAAAAATAAATGTTGATTTTTGCTTCATCAACCTTTGGAATAACAATGGAATTATTGTGACTCTCAACTTAGTTAGTAAAATATACTTCTTTATTTTGATCCATTTCTTTCAACACATTCACTGAAAAAGTAGAGTATTTTTCACTCTATAGCTTTTTACAGTATACCATTCAAAAGTAAGAGTTGATCCTTTTTTATTCTTACAAATAATTCTATTCAAATATTGCAAATTATGTAAATTTCGAAGCGATTGTCTATATCAAAAGCCGAACAAAACAAAACTATGCCCTTATCTGCATCATAGATTTTCTTATGATGCCAGCTTGTTGCGTGCGTTGCTTCGAAATGTGTGATAGTAATGCATTTTCCTGATAATTAAACATCGATCTCGGTTTGAATTGTTCATTTTGTGAATACTGAGTCGTCAAAGCATATTTTACTGACGCGAGCACCCTCCAATCAAAAGATAATAATTTAATAATTCAAATTGAAAATAAACAAAGCCTCAAATTATGAAATTTGTGTTCTTTTTCGTCTCTTGGAGTTATTTCTCATCGATGAAATTCCCAGTGGATTTGAGTGATTCAACATTGAACATACAATTTTTTGATTCCCATTAATTTTATTATTTTTTTCCCATAAACCTTTTTTATACAGCTGTTTTTACTTTATTCAAATATTTATTACACATTTTTATAACTTTTCGTCCGTTAGCGATTCAAGTTGGCCGTGCGACGGGCTTATCAATGTTCGATTTGGCAAGGCCGGCTTCATCTTTTTCCTGATTCATAAGGAGTGTCACTTTTCTAAAGAAAAACAAATGTGTAATGAAGTGATCTCAAAGGAACGAATCACCTAATAAAAGGAATAATAATAAAAATCACCTAAGGAATGGATCACCTAATAAAAGTGCTGATAAATCATCCAAACGTGCAAAACCTAATGTGCATGTATTCTGAAAAGATCAACAAAAGAAAAACAATGAGAATAAAAATAAAAATTGCGCTGATTTTTCTGGGGTGATGGTAAAATGCATGATAGAAGTGGGAAAATGCATGACACAACTTTTTTTCATGCGTTGTCCCATTTTCTGTCATGTAATATCAATTTTTCACTAACCCCATCCTTTGAAAGATAATCGCCTGGTGTCATAACAACTTTGAATTTTCCAAAAGTAAACTCCAAATTGCCCAACGTTTGATCATCACAATCAACGATGTAATCGTTTATATTTTCATCATATTTAGATGCTCCAAGCTTTGATGCAATCGGATCAATGAGGTATGATGGTCCACCTTTGAAATAAAAAATCAATGCAAACGGAATGGTCATCAGATCGGTATATTTTTAGTTTGTTTATTTCGATTTACCAATGACGGCCGCTCCAGTGTCAAATGTTGCTCGACAGTCCGGTACTGAACTGCCAGGACCGCAAATAGAGTCTAGACTATTGCCGTCAGTTCCGAATGCTTCTACTTTATCGATTGGTATTTCCCAATAACCATTGCCATACACGCGTCCCCAATGTTCAGCCTCAACATCACAGCCACCAAGTAAGAGTTCGCCACCCGGCTGTTCATTCACTTGATGTAGTTTAAGACAGGCGAACCGTTTTTTGATGTGACCGTTCTTATGCAAATTCCCAAGTATTGTTGATTTTGGATCAGTTTGTGATGTCGCACCAGACCATGGAAAGCCGATAATTCCATCAAGCGGATAACTGTTCAAATCAGTATCTTGATTCTCACCAATGCCGATAACTTGATTTTTGATTTCCAAACCGGCGAACTGTGAGAAACATAAGAAGAAAACAAGAAAAAACACGTTGAAGAGCAACAGATACAGGTAGATTAAGAAAATTTATGTGAAATTACCGAAATAGTTTCTTCTGCTACGCTACCGCTCAATCCACCCGTTTCGTATCCAAGAGTGAATGTTTTTCCTGGAATTTCTTTGTACGTGGATGATTTGCTTGAATCGTATTTATTTACTGCCTCTGTGAAACGATTGAGACTTGGTTAAAATAATTCGTTTCGACCTGATTAACCATTTGAATCGATCACTCACTGCACAAATACGGACAATCTCCATTCACTGACGGAACCCAGACATCAGCAGAGCCAGTGTCGAGATGCAAAATGAACGGCTGAGGCGGAGTGCCAACAGTGATGTTTATGCCATATTGAAGCTAGAATACAACAATTAAAGTCGAACGTTTTTAATTGTAGATATGAAACAGATTGTATTTTGTATGAGACCACCACCACACACGCACATTTCTATCATTCCACAAATTCACTTTCTTTGCGTTTGGATCGACCACGTCGGCCTTACGTCGACTACGAGAATGAAGAGACGTCAAGGGAAGTCTAAAGAATAAACATGGACAGAGAGAGAGAGAGAGAGAGATTATTCCAATATTTTTTGTTCGATAATTTCAAAAACAGAAATCGATTGAGAAATCTAAACAAAACATAACCTTATGAAATCTTCTTCGATCGACTTCACAAAGGTTGCACCACCAAACACACAAACAAACGTTAAAAAAATGATCGCAATTCGAGCCATTTTTTATTTAAAAAAAAAGTGCAAATAACCAAATACTACACTGAAGCCTGAGCTATTTCTACGATACAACTGAAATGATCGATTCTCAGTCGACAACTGAGATCGATTCGATGCAAAACCGAAGCTTATATTCGATTGCATCCAAATGTGGATGCAAAACCAAAGTTTTGCATTAATCCATTGAATGTTATTATTTTTCTTACCCGTTAAAATTGCATTCAACCGTTCTGTGTGTTTGATCGAAAAAGTCTAAAGCAAAGGGTGTAGGTCTGTACATTAATTGATATGATCTCATAACTAGTTCATTAGAATCGAAAAACAATTTACGAAAAACAATTGAATAGTTTAATGAATGCAAAATTATTCAAACAATTTTCCCAGGAATGAATATAAATAACTTATTTTTTGTTAATTGATATCTTTCCGGTATTTAACTTTTTTTTAAAAAGCGATGCCTTTGTTGGATGCGAAAGCAAAATATATGTGATTCAATCATTTTAGTAACTTCATGTGTATTCAAAATAACTATACATCAATGGGCGAGATTTTAGTCACAATCTTATATATTCTTGCGGAAAATTCTATAAAAAAATGGAATGTGATTCACTCATGGTTTCTTACGATCTACAATTCTGAAAGCAGACGATTCAATGGCAAAAGAAATCAAATATGAAGCTTCAATGTTCTGTGTCTGACCAAGCAGCTTATCGTTTTTTTTTTTCTCACAAATGATTCTATTTAAACACTGCAAATTATGTAAATTACGAAGCGATTGTCTACATCAAAAGCAAAACAAAACTATACTGTATCTGCCTCATAGATTTTCTGATGATCGCAATGATATCGTGTTGCGTGCGTTGCTTCGAAATGTGTTTGTTATGTGATAGCAATGCATTTTGCTGATAATTAAACATCGATTTCGGTTTGAATTGCATATTGCACCTATTGAGTCATCGAAGCAAATTGTACTTGTGCGAGCGTCTTCCATTTCAAAGGGTACATCTATCTTATTTCAACAGTTCAAATTCACAATAAACAGCGCGCAAAGTTTTGAATCTAACGTTTTTTGTGCTCCTTGAAATTTTTCTCTACGATGAAAAGTCCCTGTGGATTTGAAATAACCAATATTCGATTGGTTATATCGATAATTTGAATGATTCAACAGTAAAAATGCAATTCTTGGATCCTCACAAATTTTAATTTCAATCCATGAACCCTGTTTAATAAAAGACATCATTGACATTATTTATTTTACGAATCATTTTTTTTATATGGATTTTTGGTATTATGAAATCACGTTTTGTCCATTGGTTTATCCAGCAGTTGGCCGCTTGACGGACTTTTCAATATTCGATTTTGCAAGGCCAGCGTAATCATTCTCCTGATTCATAAAGAGTGTCACTTTTCTAAGAAATGGAACGCCCAGTAAAAGCGTGTCTGGTAAATCAAAGACTTTGAAATTTAATCTGCATTTATCCTAAGAAAATAATGGAAAAACAAAACAATCAAAATTTAAACTAAATTTTCGCAATACATATTCACGTAAATTACTAACCCCGTTCTTTTCAAGGTAATCGCCTGGTTTCAGGAGAACTTTGAATTTTCCAAAAGTGAACTCCATTTTCCCTAATGTTTTATCGTTACAATCAACGGTAAAATCGTTTTGACTTTCGTCATATTTGCTGCTATTTGCAAGCTTTAACGCAATCGGTTCGACAAGATTTTTTGGTCCACCTTTGAAATAGAATAGAAATGGTTAACGTGTATGTTTGTGATTTTGTTCAAAAAAAAAAACGGATGATTTACCAAGAACTGAAGCTCCAGAGTCCATTACTGCATGACAGCTTGTAACATTACTGTCTGGGCCACAAACGGATGCTTTGCTCTTACCATCAGTTCCAATTGCTGCAAATTTATCGAGAGGTATATTCCAAAGACCACCTCCATTCACCCGTCCCCAATGTTCGGGCGCAATGTCACAACCACCAAGAAAGAGTTCGCCACCCGGTTGTTGATCTTTCTGATGCAGTTTAAGACAAGCATAACGGTAGGATATTTGCCCTTGGTCTTTTAAATTTTGGAGTATCGTTGAGTTCGGATCAGTTTTTGATACGACGCCCGACCATCCAAAGCCAATAGTTCCATCGAATGGATAATTGTATACATCAAATGGTTGCTCTGTAGCTACGCCGAATATCTGATCTTTGATTGTTAAACCACCAAACTTTGAGAACACACAGAAAATTTTTACAATTTAGTCAAACTTATCGAAGATTGAGAAAGAAATAAAATCGAAAGAATAAAATTTCAACTACCGAAACAGTATCCGTCGCTTTAGTACCGCTCAAGCTACCAACTTTATAGGCAATTTCAAAATTCGGTGATTCGGTTATCGCATTATATGTCGATGAAGCGCTCGAATTGTATTTATTTATTGACTCTGTGAAACGATTGAAAAATGATCAACATTTTCTTTTCTTTCATTTCAATTCGACTGAAGAAAATAAATCATTTTGATCGATCACTCACTGCACAAGACTGGGCAGCTTCCATTCACCGAAGGCACCCATAGATCAGAAGAGCCAGTATCGAAATTTACAACAAAATTTTGAGGCGGAGTGCCAACAGTAATGTTTATGGCATAATGCACCTACAATAAAATCAAACATTTTTTTACTTTAACATAAATTATATTTTTTTTATCAAAAACGTTTAACACGCACATTTTTATCATTCCATAAATCAATTTTCGCTCCTTTGATAGCCAACTCACGGCGACTTCGCGAATGAGATTCCACTTGAATCAAAGGAAGTCTGAAGAGAATATGGAGATTTTATTTCATTTCATTGACAAAATCATACAAAGTTCACCTTATGAAATCCCCTTGAATTGACTTCAACGCGGTTACACCACCGAGCACACAAAAAAACGCTAGAAAAATGATTGCAAAATGACTCATTTTAAATTAAAAAGAACAAATTTTGGATGCTAAAATTCTATGCTGTAGCTTCAGCTGGTTCTATTGCACGACTGCAGTTGCGCCGATTTTAATTTAAGAACTGAAAATGAATCAATACAAAGCTCAAGCTGATATTCGACTGCACTTTTTGGCTATACAGCAATTGCATCGTTTCGCAGTGAACAATCTCAGTCATTTATGCATTTATTCATTGAATGTTATTATAATTTTACTTTACCCGTTAAAATTGCATTCAGATATCTCTGCATCTGGTCGAGAAAAGCTATGAGTTTGAACAACGCTGATACGTTGACGGAGATGATCATAGAATTAGTTCGTTAAAATGGAGTTCGAGAAAAATAAATCAAATTATTTAAAATATGCAAAATTATTCCGATTTTTTTTCCCACGAATGAAAATGATTGAGCGGTTTTCGTTTGTTTTTTTCCGGCAGTTTGTTTTTCAAAACAATACAACCATTCGATTAACGGTGGATGCGAAAACAAAGTGGTGATTCTTCTTCAAGCACTTGAAATTTTGATATAAAATTCAATGTCAGTTTTATATTCATTTTGTTGATCACTGAATGCATTTATGGGATTAGAAGAATTTTGTTGGATCGTTAATAAACTATAGTTTGCTAATTAAAAAATTGATAATCGGAAAAACAATGTGGAAAGAGATGAATAATCAATTCAATATAATTGATTCAATTGTATAGTTCAAGCAATTCCAGTTAGAATCTTGACTATGTGCTAATGAAGCAATTCTACCTTCGATAAAGGACCATGCTAATTATTTAAATGTCCTCGGATCAATTTTTCGATGGTGATATTCGTAGTGCTGGGACCAGCCAACTTACAATCAATATTGTCTTTAACAGTGGCTATATTCCTTGGATTTGAATGAGCCAACTGTCAAAATGGAATTTGATAAAATCCACAAATTCGATTCATAGCCCAAAGATCTTTATTACAAATATATCCTTTTTTCGTTATTTGACACATATTTGATATAGATTTCTCGGGTGATTCGATTTGAGCTTGTATTTAGGTGAAAATGATAAGATCTGGAGGCATGCAAAAAGTGTTTTGCACTGTGCAATTAAAAATTGGCAAAATTATTCAGAAAAAGTTTCTAGGAATAATTTTGATTGATTTATTTTCATTTGTTGCTAATTTTGTTGGCACTTTATATTTTTGAAACCATACAGCTGTTCGATCAGTGGTAAATTCGAAAGCGAAATATGATGATTCATTCATTTTCGTAATTAGAACTTGAAGTTCTTGGAATTTTTATATATAGTCCAATGTCGATTTCATATTGATATTTGATCATTGAATACACTCAACCTACGATCATGGAACCAAGAGCAAGTGGATTTTGTTGGATCTTAAATAAATCATAGTTGCCTAGTTAAAAAAAATGATGATCGGAAAAAAATGTAAACAAAGAAAAATGATCAACTTAGTATCGACTCAGCTTACAAACTCCCTCTTTCTTTAATCTTTTCGGTATACTTCAAATGGTTTTAACGAGAAAAAAATTGACTACGGCAAATTGTTATTATAGCTAGTAATAATTTTTTTCAGACAAATGATTCTATGGGACAATGGAAATTATGTAAATGCCCAAACGATCGTCTCCACTCATAAGCAAAACAAAACTATGCTACATTTTTTCGATTGCGTTTCGGATTATCTGAATAGTTGCAAAATCGTTGCGTGTTTTGCTTGTGACTGCATTTGGTATGCTGCTGAGATTGGATTCCCGCTACTTTTCTTCATTGAAAACTACTTGAATAGTGTTTATTTGTAGACATACTACTGATAATATCTAAATCTGAACTATCAAACAATCACTGTGCGTGATAATCGACCGGATCAATCTTGATCTCATGACGGAAAGGTGTGAAATCAAATTCAAAGATCCCATTAATTGTTAAGCTGTTGTCTCTTGTTTATGTATCTACATTTAAAGCAAAAGAAATTCGTTCATTTTGATCGTTGAATAATATTCAATGAATATTGTCTCAATACCTACCTTTTTCAAATCTTAATACTCGAATCGTAATTAAATCATCATGGCCGTTAGTTGACTTGAATACAAACACTCTACATTGAAACGAACATTGTTTCATAGGCGAGATCGATAAAAAATTAGAAGAGACTATAAGAATGGAGAATGAACTACAACAGCATACAAATTTCACCAAATTTTATTGCACATAATAATCAATGAATTGAAACTGTTTGTTGAAAAAAGAGAAGAAATTTCAAGACGTTCAAAAAAAAATCTTCCTTATGTGGATGGTTCACATGCACATATGCAAAATGAACGATTCACTTTCGTGCCAACGCTTATTCGACATCTTGTTCGATGCGTTTTAAACATCTTTTGTTTTTCTATGCCTTTGAGTTGTATACTCGGGTTGCAGTCTCTTTGCACCATCGTCGAAGTAATTTGCCAGACGGAGTTGTTGGAATTGAATCGACGAAATAAACACCACCGCGCAGCTTACAATAATCAGTCATGTTATCTAAAAAATGGAATCATAATACAAAATAGATTATTGTACTGAATAAGTATGTGCTATTGACGATAATTTAAATTGAAATTGTACCTTCAACCAGTTTACAGATCTCCGCTTCGCTTATAAACGATCCCTTTTCACGAATGACAACTGCAGCTGGCAACTCATTATTCATGTCAGATAGAACACCAACAACACAAACACACTTTATATCAGGCGATTTGATTAAAAACTCTTCAATTTCGAATGGAGATATTTTCAAAAAGTCAGTGACAATTAGATCCTTTTTTCTATCGATTATGTGCACATTGCCATCTTTATCGAAAAATCCAATGTCACCGGTTAAAAAGAAGCCTTCATTGTCCATAGCGCTTGCTGATAAATCCTTTTGTTTATAGTAACCAAGGAATTTATATGGAACTTTGATACATATTTCGCCATTTGTATCGACTCCACATCGATTACCAGCTTCATCAACAATTTTGAATGTGTAGCCACTTATTATTTGGCCCGCTGAGTCGCTGCCATTTGCATTAATTGTCACAACACCGCACATTTCAGTTAATCCAAGGGCTGGATATAGTTTTCCATTAGGCAAAAATGTATTGAACTCATTGATCATTGCATATGGTGCTCGCTGTCCACGGATTAAAAAGCACTTTACACTCGACATGTTTGCATTGGGAAGCAATCCACTTTTCAACAACGCAACCATGTGATTCGCGACGCTTATGATAACGGTCACTTTGTAGTCGTTGATCAAACGCAACAGAAAACTGGGTGAAAATGATTCCGTTGTAATTATGCGAGTGGCTCCAGATAATGTGCCCAATAAAAGTGTGTTGTGACCAGATATCCACTGCAATGAACTTATGCTCAATAGCACATCGTCTGAAGTGCAGATGTCAAATGCGGTTATCTCCGCCAAAAGCATTGCGTGCGACAAGCAAACACCTGTGAAATAGCGATAAAAATTGAATGGAATATTTTGTCGATTCGTTGAAATGAGAAAGGATGAATGCAAACCGAACAAAAATTAAAATAAGTCTCACCTTTGAACGGACCAGTTGTTCTAATGGAATAAAAATAAAAAATTTAAATAAAAAACAAAAAAAATTCTAGATTGAACAAATAAAAGTAATAAATCGATTTCACGCGGCGCACATGGCACAAATTATCACTAAATGACTGACGAATTGTCCTCCTACATTCTCCTTTTTGTATTGAGATAATGATACCTATCTGTAATGTTTACACCTATTTACTGTAAATTTTGATATTGATCTTTGTCATAGCCATATCCATTGAGTTGGCGAGTTACTATTCCATTTTAGAATCAATTTTGAACTATTTTCATATTAGCACAAAATGCTCCTTATACGCTTCAAATCATGGCCAATTATTAAACTCAAATCACTCTGCAGCCAACATTGATCTGCCTTAACCGACGTAAAACTTCTCGTCAATTTATCCAACGATATAAATTGAGTGACGACTTTTGCTGTCCTAGAGTCTCTAATTAAAGTAAAAAACCAAACGCTTCACATAGCCTTTATCCCTTTGGAAACGTTAACCAAAGGTTATTTTGGACCCTTTTCTATCTGACTCCTATCAAGCATTTCCATCTTGGTTGTATGACTATGTTTTTGTTTTCATGTGCTAACTTTTGTGAATACTGCATAATTTATGAAAAGAGCCAGGTTTTTAACGCGGCGAGAACTGAAAGTTGTACTAAATGAGTGTAAATTATTATAAATTGATGTAACAGCCTTGCACTCTTTTCCGGTCAAACACTTATTTAAACCTCATTATATTCAGCCAGAGCTTGGCGGTGATAAATAAAATAAGAATAATAAATTTGTATTTTTACCCAGATGAGCACAAAATAGCGGCGATATCGTTCACCCCGTCCACTTCAACCGGTCTAAATAAATCATGTTATGTAATCGACTGTTTTTATGATAAGTGGCTGAGTCAAATTGACTCTCATAACAGTAAAATAGAGATAAGCACTCACACAAAGTTCTCCTCATTCCCAGTGGGCTCAAAAAGGTGTTCAACTGCAATGGAGCTATCTTTTGTTCCATTAAATGTGAAAATTGTCGCATCATTCTTGAGTTCCGTCAAACACTCCTTGATCAAATCATACACTTTGATATCACAAATCATAACGCTTGGCTCGGTTATTCCAAGCATACGAATGACATCTGGTTTTTCTACCGATGTAGTCAAAGCATTTAATGGACATCCCGTAGAATATGCCGCGAACACAATCGGAGATAGATTGGGCACATTGTCCACCATCAATCCGATCACTTGCTTTGGCTTAAGGCCACGAGTCTGGAGATTTTGAGCGGCTCGAATCGTTTTCATGCGAATTTCATTGAAGGTTAGACAAACCCCTGAATCATCGCTTATCTAGAATTGTATGTCATTAAATGGAGAAATTATATTTTTTATTTAAACTTTTCCACACAATTGTTCCTTACTTGAGCAATTTTCGATCCATGTAGCTTCATAGCACGTAGTAAAGCTTGAGCAATATTGATATTTGGATTGTACAGTTGTGGTCGATTAAATCCACGCCATAAATTGGCTTTCGAATCGAATGTTGTTTGAAACATTTTCACTTGATTTTTGTCCTGTTGAAATTAAATTCCACCGAAAAATATTCAAAGATTTTTTTTCTTCAATAAATGATAAGTACCTAGAAAAAATTCTTCAATGTTTAAATATCCTTTTAAATTTGGAAAAAAAAAGTATTTCTATTCGCTGCCGGCTATTCGTCTTTTGATTCCCAAAATGTTTCTTACACTTTGAGGAATTAATCAAATCGAAATAAATCACCAATGCAACGAAGCCAAGCGTTTGTTTTAATATTGAAGTCATACACTTCTCTGGCCATAATCGCAACGGTAGCTCAATTTTTATAGGAAATTTCTACACTTTTTGCCTGATCATTGTTTTTCAGATAGCATGACAAAATTATTATTATCGTGTTTTGATTCGGTGATTCGGTAAACAACTGTCTGAGCGATTTATCAATACTATATTTCGCTCTTACTTGTAGATTATCTAATGAGATTACGTGGAAGCTAATTAGCGGTTCCCAAGCACATCGAACACACGCTTCACACGTTGTGTGACATGCTTCACTTGAATACATTATAGTGAATTTACTCAATCAGTAGCCATTACACTCTTAATAAGGCAAACAAGCGATGCATGTCATACGACGTGTGAAGCGTGTGGCCGATGTGCTTGAGTCTTATACTAAGATAAGAAATCTATGCAAAAACCATCGTTTGTGAATCGTTTAGCACACAAAATTCATATGAATTTTGTAGAAAGTTTTTCACGGATTTTGTTTCCACTAATTAGATATAAAATTGCCGCAATTTTTGTCCAAAATATTTACCGCAAATAAACTATCGTTAATCTGTATTTATCTTGATATTGACAAATGAGTGATGTAAAAATAATAATAACATATTATGTCATCGCTTATCGAAATTCAGCACAAGTAAACAGATAGCGAAATAAACATATTTCGTTCTAACATCATAACAAGAGTTTCACTTTCTGCGATTAACAAAATTTCGCTCTGCTTTCATGTACAGCTTTTGGGAGATATACTTCAATAAGCGAACACTTGACATTCAATCACTTTTTCATTCTGGAGATTCAATTCTTTATTGATATTCATTGGATATATTATTGAGCTAAATGGAATTTTTTCATTTCAGTTCAATATGTTTGTTGTGCGTGAATTTCAGATAGTGTTTGTTGTGTTCATGCACATGTCTAATGCTTGTAACTGATTTATATACATTTGAAATGAACACAACAAATGAGCTTTGTTGTTGTTGGCCCATTATTTGTTTGCACTATATTTTGTATCACCATTTGAATTTCGAATGCTCAATTCAAATGCCGCGTGACAAAATTCAATATTGAGGAGTTTGAATGTTCTATGTATGGAAAAATACTTTTTTATATTCACATTGTATCACACTTTGACCATCCATTCTATTTCGTTGTCAACGCTTAATAGTTATTGAGTAATTCATTTAATACGTATAATCGTATAAATGTTGTGATGTACGTATGATTCTTTTTTACTGATTTTCTGTTGCAATCAAACTCCAAAAAAATAAAAAAATCGATGATCTTATCATTTTTGTTCTAAAATTTGATTAAAACGGTATTTTAAATTGTCGTTGCTTACTTTTCTTCTTCTTTAAGGAATTTTATATTTCAAAATTTCCTGCACTTTAGGATTAATTTGGAATAAATCACCAGTGTAACGAAGCGTTTGTCGTAATGTTAAAAACGTAGATTTTTCAGGCCTTAATCGTAGCGATGGCTGTATATTTATAGGATTGCTCATCACTTTTCGTGATTTCAGGTAATCATTGCTCTTTTTTTGCTACTTTGATAGCACACCAATTTTATTATCTTTGCGTTTTGCTTCGACAATTTTGTTCGTAAACAGTCGTCTGGGTTGTTTATCATAGTTCTATTTTTACTTGTTGTAAATCCCTTGGGAACAGCTTAATGAGATAAGAATTCTAGGCAAATCCAAAAATATTCACCGCAATTCTGTATTTATCTTGATGCTGGCAAATGACACTGGCCTGAAAAAAAAATTATCATGTCATGTCGTTGCTTATCGATTCAGTACAAAAAAGTCGCATCAGATATCGAAAGAAGTCACGTTTCGTTCTGACATCATAACTGTTTCACTTTCTTCGAGTAACAGCATTTGACTCCACGTATGTACGGCTTTTGTGAATTTTATTTCGATTTTAGTGAATTACACAAGAATTGTCCCAATTTTTGTTTCCTATAAAGCATTTTATTGATTTCGTTCATTTATTTAAATTACACGTTAAATAAAATTCAAAGAATTGTGCTTATTCTTAAAATGACTTGACTAAAATTTTGACTAAATTTCGTTCCACAAAAAAGCGCGTCTAATCTAATTAGTTTTTTTTTTTTGGTTCAAAAGTTCCGAGAATATCAACACACAAAAAATGATATGATGAGAAAAAAATCTCCAAAATAAATAAATTGTAGACAAAAAAAGGGGATCTACTACTACACTACTCACTACTAGGGGAATGAAATTGGATGATCAATGGATATGGTGATTGAGATTAAAAGAATCACATGTTAGAAAATACTGCTTTGAATACGTGGCAAAAAGTGCCCTAAATCTAAATGATATTAAATATGATACGATTAATGCTGTCGTTGCTTGTATAGTAGTCCAATTGAATTGGATGATAATTTGGCTCATGGGCTTGTAGTGAGAATGATTCCATCCAAAGTGATTGTACGTTGTGTCTTTGCCACAGTTCCAGTTCGTGCTTTGTTCTTATCGTTATGCACATTTTTGATATGTCTACGGAGTGCATTGTCGTGTGCAAGCTTCTTTTGGCAAATCGGACAATATCGAATCATTTCACCGGTGTGAATTTTCTTGTGTATTCCGAGTCGGAATTTGCTTACACACGCCACACCGCATACTTCACATGTAAAAGCGTAATTGGTTTCATGAACTCGTATATGTAAATTGAGCCGATAGTCCGAATCGAATGTCTCTGAGCAGTCTGAGTAGGTGCCTAAAATGAGATAAAACATGGGAATCAGTCGAAATTCAATGGAAAAATGAAAAAAAAAAATGGGAAAATGAATAAAAAGGGAAAAATGGCAACAAACATGCGATCGCTCGCACTGTGGCGTGCTTCTTTTCAACATGGTCCCGTAATTCGCGTGGCGTTACAAAACGATGGCCACATTTTGGGCAAACGTGATTCTTGATTCCCAGGTGATACCTAAAATGGATGCGCAAACTGTTTTTGGTCGCTAGTTCCTTGCCACACATGTCGCAAATAAAAACTTGTTCGCGTGTGTGTGAGTTCACGTGAATATTGTATGTTTGCCGATGATTGAAGCCTTTTGAGCAAAATTTGCAGTGGAACTTGAACGTTTGCTTGGCTACGCAAAGGAAGAAAAAAGAGGTTTGAATGTCTCGAATTCGGTTTCTCGAGTAATTAATACAACATTAACCAATCAATATGAATGATGGCGGTACCTTTGTCCTCATGAAATTTTTGTACATGTTTTTTGTACTCATTCGAACTAGAAAATGTCGCTCCGCATTGTTCGCACAGTCCCGGAAAATCATCTTCCGGCTTTTCCCTTTTGTACTTCTTTACCAGGCTTTTCAAGCTGGCTTTGATATCTTCGCGCAAAAGTCGATCCACGTACTTATCGACGTCTTTCGAATTATTAACTTTTCTCGTTCTCTTCCTTGTAACCGGTGCCTTTGCTTTGCTGACTTTCTCCACGTTCGTCTTAACTTTATCAGGAATTTTTATTGTATTCACTACTCTTTTCGGTGGTTGAGGTTGTTGAGGTGGTTGAGGTGGTTGAGGTGGTGGCGATGGTGGTTGTAGTATTGCTTCTTCAGGTTCTGGATTTAAATCTCGCTTAATCTCATCCAATACATTCGATTCGAGTTTGAGAATTTCCGTATCAAATACCGGCATAAATTTATCATCGATTTGCTCCGGAAAAACTATTTCGTCCATATCAAAGAGATAATCATTTTGAAATTTCTTCGATTCACTATCTGGTGGCTGATTCTGCAAATGCTTCTGGAATTCGGTTAAAATATTGTCTGATTCGATGCATTGATGCCGAAACAAAGAGATTGCTTGAATTTTCTTTATACAAATCGAACAGATTCGTTGTGGTTGCGGCTGCACTTTACTCAACTAAAACGAATAAAAATTTTAATTTAAACATCAAACATGTAAGCAATATGATGAAATGTACCTCTTTGTTCAAAATTTGCTCAATCATTTTTTGGGCCGTGCAGCTTTCTCTTCGACTCCATGGCATCGTTGATCCAATAGATATGTACTCATCATCAGTTCTGCACAAACACGTACGACACAATTGACTGATAGCACCACCATTTTTTTCGTATGAGGCCAAAAATGATAGCGAAACTCGTTGACTCGACATCACAACTACCGAGTTTGTCCATTAACAATTGCAATTGGACTGGATCTACGGCCGAGAGAATGAGAGAAATCACAGTTTATGTAAATAAGTGCGAGTGATTTCTCATCGTAAACATCTTGACAGATGACAGATGCGGCTTCCACTTGGAATGATGGAAAGCATTACAGTTGCCTTCGTGTTCCGATAGATGGCGCTAGTCATTCAGCATGGCTTTATAAATGGGATAGAAACAGTTTTTTTTTTGTTCCAAATTGTTAATTGTATTGTGTTTTCAATTTTTTTTTATTATTCTAATAGAAATGTTGTCAATTTGTGAAAATTAGTATAAATGGCTAAACCAATTGATAACAGCATTACGATTTGTATGCATTTAATTGCCTCTTTGGTTGATTGTAGAGTAGCCGCAATTTTATCACCACAAAATATTCGCTGTGTTCAGGTGTACAATAGCAAAAATGATTTCCTGGAAAAATCAATTTTATCTTTCAATACCAAATGTTACCGTCAATTATTGTAAAAGGCCATGTTGTTGCAAGCAAATTGAATTAAAAGGCAGTTCAAAGCACGTATTGCAATTTAAATCGGCCAAATCTAAATAATTGGATGCGATTCATGCAAACTTCTGTTCTTTTCGCTACTTACTTGCTTCATTTCTGCTTAAAAAGATTAAATTTCAGAGTATAAAATGTGGTTTGTTGTCCATTTACGAAAGAATAAAATGGATGTATGTGAAGTGCGAATCGAACGTTTGTTTACATTTTCAAAACACATAACTAAATAGTCGTCACGTCGAACGGTCGTCCGTTGTAGTTAGTAATTGCTAGAACCATCTTCCGCTTTGATTATGATAACTCAAGTTACTTTGTAGTTAAAAAGAATTAATGCAGCTGCGATGATGACGACATCTAGATAAGATTAATTTTTTTCATTCTGTGTTTGGGTCTAATCAAAAAATGATGTATAAGAACGTTTCAAAGATTGAACTTATTGATGAAACAAGTTATATTTTAATGATTCATTTGTGTTTTTGATAAAGCATTTTAATGTATTTGTTCAAATTTTGTGACTTAAATCATGATTTATCATTGAATTGATAATAATTTTTTATTTTAATGACAAAAATGTGTTCAAATGTTATTCATCAAATCTGTATGATTTGTCGATCAATGATTAATAGTCAAATGGTCTCCAATCCGTTACAAAGGAAAATGTTGCACCGCTTTGACTCAATTTTAATACCATCATGGCTAAGGTCCTTGCATCATCGATGGCTGAGTGAGCGTTTCCAACTTGCTTGATATTTATGACATCCAATGCTTCTTGAAAGCTAAACATTCCAGGGTGTACTTTCTTAAAAATACAGAAATTCTTTCCTAACAAAATGTCTCATTTCATATTTTGTTCATTGGAAACTTACTCCAAAAATTTTGCGTGCATCGATCCAGGCTTTTAATTGTGGCTTTGGTTGAATTCCATGGCGTGTGCAGTCTTTACGTAGGTAAGTGCTTAAATCCCAATTAGTCCAACAACAAAAGGCGGTGTTGGCTCCATACTGTACGTTTCTAATATTCGGCGTGGCAAATTGTAACTGATGCGAAATACGAATTTGTTCCAACCACACTAAGAATCGCTGGTAAACGATGGGAAATATCGCTTGGACATCAATGAGAGATTGCGTTATTCCGGTTAAATTTGTACAGTATTCACTGAGAACTGGGCGGTTTGTCGGTCGAACATAGTCATGAAATTCGGATTCGATCATACCATTGCGTAGATTTAATAGCACTGCACCAAATTCTGTTTTGGAATAATTGACCAAAAATGTCATTTTGCTCGATTAACGTTTCTTGGAAGTTTTTATTGAAAAAAAAAATCATGTTTCATGCAAGTATGTAAAGCCACAAGTGTTACCAATTATTTCAGCATTTTCAAAATCCTTTTCTTCCCAACAAGTAGCTTCGAAATCCAAGCAAACGATGTATTTCAATTGATATGCCATTGTTTCCGATCTCAGTATCAATTGATAGGAGTTCAGAGAATTCAAAATAAAATATCCATTGATCGGATGCACAAATTCCAAACCACACCTTTTTCTGTAATTTATATTCGAAACACCATTCAAAAGTTTTTTTTTTCGAAACAAAAACTGTAACTTTTGTATCCGATTGAAGTTCCTATTCAAGTTTTTTTCGTTGAAAATTTGAAAGATAAACAACAAATTAACTGTACCACAAAAAAAGCCAACCCACTTAACGTTATTAATAGCAATACTGTCCGTTTAGCGTACTAGCTTGCCTTCGACTAGTCTTGAGCTCACAAAGTGATCGCTCAAAGTGCGAAGTGGGGTTCACACAGCGAAAAAGCAAACGGCATCATACGAGTGATGTCATCACTTACACTTATTAAATCGCATGTATTTCAAAGCAGTGTATTTGTCGATCAGAGCATTGTTGCTAAATAGTTTATACACAATCAGTTTGTTTGTATTCGATGTTGAACATTTTTTCACAATTGTTTATTCCTTCATTTCCTAATTGTTTTGAAAATTCTCCATTGCCAAGACAGTCAAACGGCATTCTGTTAGTAAGGAGTTGCTTGAATGTTTCAACCGTTCTTCAATCAGTAATGGAATTATTATGCAAATTCGCTTTGATTCATAAACCATCAAGTTTATTATAAAATTTAGAATAATTTTAATTTGAATCAAATGATTGTTGCATGGTTCGACGTCCCGTCTCTGAATGATTCTTGGAATGAATGCATAACTCTTGGAACATTATTAAATAACAAAATGGATTATTTTGTCTTCGAGCGTTTGTGTAATAAAGTAAAAAGAATATCGATAGCGTTTTCCAGTACTATTGGTTGCCGATATTTGAGCCGCGCTTACATTGCAATGTTGAGTCAAAGCTAATCACACTGCAAAACACTTACCAAATCAATTCAAAATAGGCCAGAAGTCTAAAAAAAGAATTATTACAATGTACAATGAGGCGAACAATTTTGAAATATATTTCCAAAACACTTTTAATATTCCCGCAGCTCTGAACGTGGGATTTTCTTTAATTTTTGTCAAGACTTTTTTTTTGTCATTGTTCTAAATAAATGAAACTTATGACCGCGATGATAACAAAAAAGAAACAGTCATTAAAAGAACTTAATCTATACACTTGCATTCAAATATTATTTCTTTGCTATTAACATTTTATCAGCACCTAGCGGTTTATTTGAAATTGCTAGGTTCGCAACGTATAACAATATTGCGACAGATATTTTCGTCACAGTGTTTATTGTTCAGTTTGCCAAGCAAAAAAAAGGCAAAACGTGATAAAATCATTAATTACTAACGATTTCAATAAGCGACATAAAAATGTTAAGGTTTCGAAAAGCGTTTTCAATCATTAAAAATCAATACTTTTTCAATCGCGGTGTATAGGTTCACATTAAACATTTTTTGTTTCTTTTTAGCCCACTAGTAATTTTTCCAATCAGTAACTTTGTGGAATTCCGCACCGCTTCGGTACAAATTCAAAACCATCTTGGCCAAGGTCCTTGCATCGTCGATGGCTGAATGAGCATTTCCCGTTTGCTTGATGCTTATGAAGTCCAATGCCTCTTGAAATGTGTATCGTCCTGGATGCTTTCTCTTTAAAAAAATATAACATTTTGTAGTTATCAACAAAAATCAAAACTAATCGGTTGATGGGCCAAATGAATCATGTAATAAACTTACTTCGAAAATCTTCCGTGCATCGATCCAGGTTTTCAAATATGGTTTTGGATTAATTCCATGACGAGTGCAGTCGATACGTAGATAATGACCCAGATCCCAATTGGTCCAAGAGCAAAATGCAGTATTGATTCCATAACTTGTGGTGCGAGTATTTGGCATAGCCATCTTCAACTGATAAACATCACAGATTTTCTCTAGCCATGTCACAAACTTGTTGTAAACGACCGGATATTTCGCTTGAGCATCGATGAGCACCTGTGTAATTCCCGTTAAGCTTATACAATATTCGCTGAGAATCGGACGATACGTTGGTTGCACATATTCATGAAATTCCGAATCGATTTCACCGCTTTGGAGATTCAACAGTAATGCACCGAATTCTTTTGAAAGAACCGAAGAAAAATAACAACACAATCAGTTTGCGACATCACATTCTAAGGAACTAATAAAATATTGACAATTTCAATAGCGATAGATGTTACCAATGATTTCAGCATTTTCTGAATCCCGTTCTTCCCAACAAGTTGCTTCGAAATCCAAGCAAATGATGTATTTGAACTTTGATGCCATTGTTCAGAATGTTGGTGTCTATAGATAAAAGTCGATCAAAATCACAATTAATTTCTTTTTTCAATATATATTCAGTTTTAAAATTATTAGGATTCGTTTGGAAAACACACCTTTTTCTTCTTTTCACTGTACAAAAAAAATTCTAATTTGATTCTTTTTCTTAGAATACTAATTCGTTATAAAGGATAATAAATCAATATTCACGTTATTTAGTGTATAGATTTTGATATGAAGAAACAATGGTATAGAATTTTTACTTAAACTGTTAACCCTTTTCAACGAATAATTTTGTTCGAAGTATCAACTTGCTCAACGTATGACTCGTTTGAATTCAAATCACAAAGTGATCTTCACTCACTGAGTGAAACGGTGAAGTATGCCCATCAATGTTCGTATTTCATAAGCCAAAAGTATTGTCATTACTTACACTGCAAATACACTGTGATGAAGTGCGTGTGTGTGTGTATGTGCTATGGTCGTTTTCTTACGAGCGCTCTTCTCTATTTCCTTTTGAACATTTTCTACACTTACATGTGCAAAGAGCGCTGAGTTTTTCATCCGTTTGGTGCAGAAACGAACACACGCAGTAACTGCTGATATGCAATGTCTACTAGATATTGCCGTTTTCGTGTTTGGATTCACACTCAATTTTCTCCTTTCGTTTGTGTACAAAGATGAAATCATTTGTCTTTTCTCCCTCTCTCCATTTGTTCTAAAAAAATTCTACATTTTTTATTAGGTAAGAGTCGTTTTTTTGTATTATCAACAGCTTGAATGTTCTAACTGTAATTTCATAATCCACATCAACTTTATTGTAATGTTTGAAATGCATATAACATCATTTTTATCCAACGGGATCTGATTTTATTTAAAAATTGTTTGTCGAAAGAAGTTTGATGAACACGCTTCCAAATGACCCATTCAGCCGCTGAAATAGAAAAAAACATTCGTAACATTTTCTCATGATGAATTTTGCATTTTAAGTTGAATGTTCGCTATGCTGCTACCAAATAATGCAACACTCAAACCAAGCAAAGTCAATGCACAAAGTGATGAAAGAACAATAAAACTGAATGAAAATCTACAAACAGAAACAAATTTATTTACAAAATTCACATGAAAACTTCAGTTGGAAAATTGGTATCCATCATATTGCTCGCATATAAATGAAAATAGAATCTTTTTTTTATTTCCAAGAAGTTTATTGATATTCAAAATAACAGAATATAATTTTGATTCAATTATTCTTCATATCATGTTCTCCCATTTCTAGTAATAATTAGTAATTGCGTTAAATCTAACGCCTCTGTTGATCAAATGCATCGCCAATTTTGCCAAATTGATTGCATCACTTATTGCCGAGTGTGGGCTGCCAACGGTACGAATGCTGGCGATTTCCAATGCATACGAAAATCTCAAATTTCTATTGATGAATGCCATATATATTTGCTTTGGGAAACAAACGGAGAATGATTAGTTTCACGAAAACACCGGTTGACAGTGTATTTTCATATGATAAAATTCAGTGGAGCCATTGAAAAAAAAAAATTGAATACAAGCGATAGAAAGCCATTGCTGAAACTCAAACTCACATTAAACAGTTGACGAACATCAATCCACGCTTTGAAAAGTGGCTGGCAAATGATGTGATTGCGTGCACAGTCGTTGCGAAAGTAGAAACTTAAATCCCAATTTGACCACGAGCAGAATGTCGTGTTTGGACCATCAGAAATGCGTGCTCTTGCCGATGAGGTGAATTGCAACCCCTTTGTATTTTGTAGCATTCGTAGCCAGTCAATGAAATACGAATAAATGGTTGAGAATGTTGGTTGGCAATCGACCATGGACTGCGTAATGCCAGTCAAATTAATGCAATATTCGCTGAGTTGCGGATAACGAATCGGTCGCACATAATGATGGAAACGGTCTTCGATTGTGCCACTGTTCACGTTTAAAAGGATTGCACCGAATTCTTATCGAGAAAAATTCCCATTAATTTTCGTTGTTTTGTCACTTTGTTTTCGAAAATTATTTTCCATCTTGGAATGGACAAGGTGTAAAATTTACCTACCAATTATTTCCGCGTTTTCCTTCCAATCGTATGACCAGCACGTTGCTTCAAAATCCAAACAAATTAGATACTTGAAAGACATTTCAATCCAACTTTACACAGTAATTTCAGAGAAAAGAAAAGCAAATCTTTCTAAAGACACTTT